ACACAGAAACTTTCAAATTGGCTATCTTACTGAGATTCAATGCAGTTTGAGGCATGTCCATTGTGACATTCGTTCATAAGTCATCATAAAATTTTCATGCCATAGAATATTCAAGCTGAACTATTAACTAACTGTTCATTCATTTGATTGATTGATTCCGTGTTTACATTTCTCAAGAAAGTGGGCATTATTAACAGTTGTGCTTACTTGGGAAAACTATTCGGCTCCCTCGGTGTCTCCAAGGAAAACTGCATTCTTCAAATCTTCATCTGACATTTCCCTCAGTGTCTTCAGGTCATCTGGTCTGCATTGGACCAAAGTCTTCTGTCATCACGAGTTTCTCCCAGGCAGGACAGGAACATCAGGGCACACCTAACCATATGAAAGAATCCTGATCATTAGTATATGGTTCTAAGGGCATCTCAAGACAACACTTATTTAACTGACCATAACAATAAAATCAATGGAACTTCCATTTGCTGGAATGGCTGTAGAAACTTGGGAAATTTTTGTGACGACTGGTAGTACATGTGTTATGCCTCTGAGTTTTAACATAGCTGCGAAAAAAAATGTAACATTGGAAGTATTGTCTCACCTGTACAAACTCTTCACTGCTCTGTGTCTTCAAGAAGTCGCCCGTCATCACAGGTTTCTCCCAGTCAGGACAGGAACATCAGGATGTACCATTCTATGCATGATACAGGATAATCAGTACAACGCAACAAGCAACCAGGTACAGGTGAATATAGAAAAGTATATGAAGTATAATTCTGAAGAAAACTTACTTATTGGATCTGCATAGGCATTTTCTAGCCAGTAGTTATGACACTCTGTCAAACACAGTAACTGCTGACCATATATATAGACTCATACTAACTAGTAACTTTATCATTTGCCATACATTGTACCCGTGGCAATCATTGTGCAATAAACTTTGACTTTCAAAGTTGGAAAGGCCAAAAAGTTTGAACATTCTTCAAATTGCTATATGAAGAACACACAAATTTGCCTACATTAGAACAATATGAACAGTGTTGTTGTTCTTACATACCAGCAAAAAAGGCCAAGACAACAACAACGAATGGAATCCTGATATTAAATATACTCAAATACAACATGTCCCACAATAATTTGTGTGCGGCGAAGGAAATGGAAACTCCTTGGTGCGACATATCGTTCCACAAAACGCAAATTTCTGCAGAATAAAACGGTTAAAATGACGAATTATAACGTGGTCTGTTGCTACAGGTTTGTTGGAAGTACAAACATGTATCTTTATACCCTGGATGCGAAACTAGTATCGGGCCGTTAGCCGTTTTCCTTCGGCAGCCAAGAGCCCTTCGCCCGCCTATCTAAATTACCGCTATGGGGGAGTTGAGCCCGAGGGGTTTGTAGTCCGACCCTTTAAATTAAAACGCAAACTTCTACAAACGAATTATAACGTAGACTGTTGCTACAGGTTTGTTGGAAGTACAAACATGTACATTCAAGGAGCTACTTTGTTGCCTTACCTCGCAAGAACGAGTCTTTTTCCATGGCAGTCGCCATTTTCGTTCCCAGTCTCCACTGCAAAGGTCATGGAGCTGTAGCCGACGCACAGCGGCGGGACAAGTATCCAAGCGCAAATCTACGCCGACTGAACACGCACATAATTCAACTTTTACAGTCTCAAAACTGACGTATTCCTCTAACATTTACCACAGGTTCCATCTCGATGCCATGCACAAAACAATCTCTGCACCCTTCTCTAGTATTGTGCAGCACTACTTTGTGCCCGGACTACTTTTTAGGGGTTCGCCCATATATACTGTGTTGTGCGGCCTTAGTGTGGACCTCTCCTTGGTGCTGAACTCACCATCAATTCAATGTATTAAGTATTGCAGTTGTGGCCTCAATACTTTAAACGACGTTTTGTTTGACACAACAGCACACCCATAGAAAAGCGAGGTATTCATGTATTTTAGTACATGTATATACAGAATATAGTACACTGAAGCCTGTATATCATGATAAAGAGGATATCAGGGAAAACAGTTTGATCACAAATGCTGTTGAAAATATATCCCATTTCTATACAGATTGAAACAACAGACAATCATAACAAGTGCTTTCCTAAATAGGAAAATGCATTGTGTTCTCCGTCATATTTGTAATAAAAGATTAGTCACAACCTTAAACTAAATATTAGTTTGGAATGTGAACTCTTTCAGAAATGACAACAAATAGCAGTTAGGGCCTAGCTTCAACAATGGCATTAAATGTATATGTAGAATGAAAAATTCAGAGGATCGCAAATACATCTATGCCCTTTCCAACATCTTTCATTGTCATTTTAAGGGTCTGCATGGGAAGTCCCGATCACGCTTCGCATGCTAATTTCTGTAAGGCAGCGCCCCCGATTTACATTAAGCTTGTTTTCACGTAGATTACATTTGATATCAAAATCGTTGTTCGACATCAAATTATGCAAAATTGAAATGGCAAGGTGAAGAATGCTGCAATTAAGCAACAGCCACGTATTATGGTTCACTTGTACTGGCCGGACGTTTTATCACATAGATGAGAGTTTAATGGTGAATAGATTGACCCGACTTCCATTATGCAAACCTACTGAAATGGCTGGTTACGCATTGCGGCATGCAGACCCCATTTGTGAAAGAGTTTATAAATAAAAGCCAACTCACAGTCAAGTCCGATGTTCTCTTCTCTTGTAGATAAGTGACAGGTAACAGGTCCTTCAGAAACAGGTAGATCCTCCTGGAATAATAGTCCTAGAATGTGACAGGTACACAGGATAGCTGACAGGTCCCACAGCACACACAGGAGACAGGTCCCACAATGTCAGCTATACATTAGCAGCATCTCAAGCCTAGGGTGTAAAAGAGATACACATTCAGAAAGATCACAGGCCAAATAATAGTATTAACAGAGCATCATACATCATTCTAAATCCTGCTTTGGGTCGGGGGTAACAGCAAATTCTGAGTGGGGAAAGAGGTTTGCGGAAAAACCTGTCCACCTTTCAGGCCAGTCCACCAGGCCAGGCTAGCACGTCATGCTACTCAGATCCCCCCCATTCATATCCTCATCAGGTAGCCTGGCTTGAAAGGTGGACAGATTTTTCCGCAAACCCGGGAAAGAGCACAGCAAAATTGCAGTCAACATTCAATCAAAAGTCAACATATTATTAGGAAAACATAACATGACCATGGAAAAATCAAAGTACATCTCACATAAAATACCTCAGAACCGTGAGTCACCAACATTTACACACAGAATGCCGCATTATTTCAAACATTAGTTCAACAGCATTCAAGCACAATTCTCATATTGACAGAACATTATGGGAAAAGATGACTTACATAATGCATATAAATCAGTAAAAAAATTCAGAAAACAGAGGAAGAAACGAGCGTATCTAATGTAGTCATGTCCCCGAACGGCGACTTCACTAATAGGCAGGTTTAAACACAGGGAATCGTCACCGGCGCAAATAATTTACGCCATTCTGCGTTTTAGCTTCATTTCATTTCATCTCTTCCTTTTTCTTCTTTCATTGTGAGGCAGCCACCTTCAACTACCTAAAGATACTGCTGCCTTTTTGTGGCTAATACGAGATGGGGTTCGACAGGCCTCCATCCATGAAAGGCGTGTAAACTGCCTTTCCCAAAGGCACAAGATGGTGACATGGCTGGGTTCGAACCCTGGACCTCATGGTTCTGAGTTCAACGCTCTGCCGTTGCGCCACACGACCCCAACGAATTGAAACGAGTTCGGCCCAAATTCAAGAACATACAGGACAATGTTAAATGCGACTCACCTTAAGCGGACGTAGCTCGTCTTGTAAAAGACGAATTTTAACCACCGAGTTCTTCCCTGTCCAAGCACCGTGACTTGCCATCTTGCTCTGAGCAGCAGCGTGGTCTTACCACCTGATACGGAATCACCAGAATTTGCATTTTCTCAATTAGATAATTAAGTTAGGCCGGGTTGATTTGATTATATGGATGACATCCACTGGGAACCCCAAAACTGATGTGATCGTGCGAATAAAAAAAAGTTGCCTTTATTCTGAAATATAAGTGGTCATGAAGGTTGAACAAATGACTAAACACACAAAGCAATATTTTATTGGCATGGTGAATAATAGACTCTTAATTTTCTTTCCTTCACATTTTTTTCTTTTCTTTTTAATAGAATGGATTTTAGCATTCTGCGACATATGTATCGTTTTCCATTTTTTTCCAGTTTGCGGCATATATTTGCTCATTTTGCAGCTGCTTTGTACGATTTACAGTATGGTCGAAAACTGATTTTTTTTTTAAAAGACGAAAATTCATGCGCGCGCGGATGTCATCCATGTAATCAAATGAACATGGCCTTAATATATGATAATCCACGTGAGCAAAAGCTACGGTATTCCCTCTCTCTGCTTGGCTTTCATTCATATGGTAATGTCTTCGACAGCGAAAAGTCCACTTCTGCAAAGACGATGACGGATTCTGCAAGCGATCAGCTGATCGAACAATCACGTTTTGACGCATATCTCGAGAATGAAGCAAATTTGATGGAAGGTAATAAGTAGGAATAGAATAGAGACCTCAAAAAGTATACTCTGAAAACAAGGAGGCCCAGAAATGTCAAAAGTTGCATTTTTCTAAATTTGAAAAAGCGGATATTCATCCCCTATCACACCCCCGTTTTCGAGCCCCTGAGCAAGCGAGAACCGTATCTCGGGTTTCGGCATTTGGCGAGTTGGGAAACGAGATGGGCTCTTATGGGGGTTTTACACTAGGTCTTTACTGCTCTTGTTCTTGGCCTTGAAACTCTCCCCGACTGCCTTCATATCACGAATGTTGAAGGCAAGAACCGTTTTAGTCTTGTATCTATTCATTTTGAGACGAACATTTATAGAAAGGCTTGTACGAGCGGCTAAAAATAGAGCTTTCTTGTCTACATTTCATTGTTTACAAAGCCAATAAAACAATCATGTCTGCAAAATTACCATTTATAACGGCCTGCTAAGTAAGACACTGTTACATTCTACTTTTCTCTATCTTCACAAATTTCATACACTAGTTGAATATATTGAATGTTTCCAACCAAATAAAATACAGAGATGATACAATTAAACAAATATGTATTAGAACTTGATGAACATTAGTTGATACCCAGATATCTTGCCAAAAGTTTTCAACTACAGCAAATTAGTACAATTTTACATTAATTAACGTAATGTTAGCTGTAGCACCACTTCATAGATATCCAAATCAACTAATAGAATAGTAGCTAAGATAATACAACTTGGCCAAAAAGAAGTTGTAGCCTATTGAAAAACACTGAGCTCATCATGTTCTACATATAATGAAAACTGACACAAACTTTACTATCACCTTTAACCCCATTCAGATAGTGAGTTTTTCAATGTACTATTATTTAGTCATTCGATACATGTATATATACATTATACTATCTGTCTAAAAAAGTATGTACTACAATTAAGATATGTATAATTAAAATGTACTGTATTTCCATACTTATCTTTCTAATTTCTTCATTAATATATATGCAGTTAACTATAGCTTTCATGATCTTAAGTATTTCAAAATAGTTTGTACTATACCATACATTGTATATAATATCATTATTGTGAAGCAAAATTCTTTCTCCCCTATTTCGCAGTGCACTTTCAATGTACCTGTTACAATTATCAAAATAAGTACAGAAACATCAGAAATGTTGACTGTCATGTTGAAATCTAAAGACAGACCATAATTATGCTGATGACCAAGCATTGGCACATTTTAATACATGGCATGATTCTGAATAGATATGAATTATACATGTAATTTCAAGTTGTTTTGTGCATAGATAATCTAGATGCAAACTTATACACTATAGACAATTTTGTATTAATCACCAAATTCCAAACTCATCTTATGAATAACGTTACATGTATAAATATGTCTCTACTTATAAACCAGACTAAATAATGATATTACATGATTAATTACATGCCTCAGCAATATCTGGAATTTAGGGATATCTACCAATTCCTTCTAACTCATCTTATGTGCCTCTAACATATTATGAAAGCACTTGTAGGAGTTTTTACATCATAGCTGAGCAATAAACCTAAGCAATAATATTCCTGTCTATATCAACCACCTGTCTTCTTTAATAATTTTCTGGAAGTCTCTGAAGGTCATGGTTCATGCAATGCAGTAAATAGTCACCAGGAGGTGCTGTGGATAAGTTAACAGGTGGAATCCTCCAGGCATGGCTTGTGAAGCTGTCTAGTCGTCATCCTTATGCGGTTCTGCTGGCTCATACTCAAAACCATCTTCTGCCTGGACATCGATGTAAATCTGAGGGAAGAAGTAAAACACACACTCTAACTGAAGAAGAAACCTTTTTTCTTAACACAAACATTTAACAAATTATGGCTATGGCATATCCTTAGCATATGAACAAAAACAGGCATCTATGCATAATGCCTTTAGATGGACTCCTGTAGGGAAGTGAAAAAGACACCTTCAGGGATATGGAGAAGGGCAATGGAATAGGAGATGACAGCAAGAAAGACCTAACCTAGGAAGGTAAAATTTGCAAAGAAAATGCATAATGTTTACCTTCACATATTGTCTACTCTGCATTTCTCACTCAAACACAATGATATGGTGACAGGAGTCTAAATCCCTCCCGCTATAAAATTGCAACATGATGTAACCCAACACCAGTTACCATGGTGACAGATATTTGGTCCTGGTCATTGACCTTATTTGTTTGGAGAAGAAGAAGAGGAAGAAGAAGAAACAGAGCAAAAACAAGTTTTCCTTCTGTCATCAATCAAATGGATGGCCAAAGATAGAAGTGGTTGGAGGCAGTTTGTCGGAACCTTAAAGCTTCAACAGGAGCGAAGAGGGTTAAGAAAGTGTCACATGTCCCCACTTCATTGCTGTTGGCCTCCATTTCCTTCAGGGTCTCGGCCAGCTGGGGGAAGGTCGGGCGTGTCTCAGGGTCGTCACGGAAACACTGCCTCATCAGGATGTACCTGCACAGGAAATGGTTCAACTTCTTAAAAAAAGGACAGTTTCATAAAAAGCTGATACTTATTACAAATGACATTTTTCTTTGCCAAAGTACAATACATGATCGTATACAGCTCTCTCTGTAGCCTGTATGTTAGTAAAAAGCTTTGTAGACTTACATATGATCATGGCAGTTGTCTGGCTGTTTTAACTTGTAGCCAGCAGGGATCATGCTGGTCAACTCCTCACTCTCCAGCTCACTGTAGGGAGTTCCTCCTGAAACAGGCAGACAAATGTCTGAAGGTCAGACTTCAGTGAATTGCCACCAAATCAGCATCATTTTAAATTACAGTAGCAGTACTGTGCAGTTACAATTTCCTTGTAAGCTACAACCAAGTTTAGCATCCATTCCATCTGCCTTTATGTTTTTGTAACCTATTAATGAAGTTACCTGCCTTCTTGGGGCTTTATTATACTTAGTCTAGCATGCTTTCTGTCTGTCCACTTACCCAGTGTTGTGATCTCCCAAAGGACAACCCCATATGACCATCTGTAACAGAAATGGCAGTTTAGGGTACACTTACGGTGTTGGAATATAAGACATATTTACTCATTGCTTGAACACCATTAAAGAGGTAAAAAGTGGGTATCTGTGCTTTTTAGCATATTGGCATTGCTGTTTTATACTGAGTCTTTTATAAGTCAGTAGAGAAATGTTTAAATCAACAACAATTAAGATATAATTTACAATAATATAAGAGTCTGAATTTTAAAAACATCTAACATACACATCAGTCTTGGTGGTGTAGGTGTTGTTTGTCAACGACTCTGGAGCCATCCACCGATTTGGGACACGTCTCTGAAAAAAACAAAGTAAAAATACAGGATGATGTATTTATTATTGCATAAATGAAGACATAAGACATTTTCAATTACATTACTTGAAGATGTATCTATAAGACTTAGTATGATTCATTCAGAAGGAAAAGATACCTCATACTTCAATCCCAATATTATTAGTACATGTAGCTGAAAGCATCTAAATCTCTTTTCCATTATATATATCATTCAAAACATGTCATAAAAGTCACATACATCATCATCCTGAGACATAACAGTATACCTAGCTGTGAACATCAATTAGAGTACATGTACATGTAACTACTTAGTACTGTACAAGTAACTGAGTTTTTGTCACCTTCTCTGCCTTGACCATCCTGGGCAGTCCGTAGTCAGACACTTTACAGACTGGTCTGCTGCCCTCCTCCATCACAAGAACATTCTTGGCAGACAAATCTCTGTGGATGATCTGCAGAAATAAGAAAAGAAAGCAATAAATCATCCTCTTCGGAATCAGACTTCTTTGCAAGAGGGGCAGGAGGCAGTCTACCGTAGGTCTCACAGATCTGCCCTGTACAGAGACAGGGGGCAACCCAAGTTATCTAGCATGTATGACCCGCTACTAAGGTCACGTGTCTCTGACGTCATGTTTCAAGAGTCAACGGGTCCATTCCATGAACGAGGTTAAAGGAGTCAGCCAAAAATTTGGGGTAAGACCCAATTCATGACCAGTGTTGGCAGATTATGTTGAGTCATTGTGAGAACTTTGTGCACAATTGGTTAATCAACACAGAATCGTGAAATTGAAAAAAAAAACAGACTGACTCTTTCCTTAGTACATGTTTGTATAGAAGGAAGATGCCAGAGGGTTCGTTTCTAAACAGCATACCGGTAACTATAGACATAGAGCACTTCTGGAAGAATTTGTATGATATATGTCACATAAATACAAGTCAGAAAAACCAAAAATAAGTTTGGTTCTGAACCATTTTTCTATGGTAGAAGAACTTATTAATAAGTTTTAATTTGGATGAAGATGTGCCTGACCCCTTTTCTAGATATCTGCTGCATTCCCTCAGCCACGTCCTTGGAGAACTGTAGCAGCTGCTGACTGGACAGGGTGGACATCTGACCATCACTGGGCAGCCGGCTGTCCCGCAGGTAACTCCGCAGGGTGCCCTGGTTAGCCAGCTCAAGGGCCATGAACATGTTTCCTGGTTACAAGCAGGGAGGAAAAGATTAACAGGTTTCATGACAGATGCAGAGCCTGACTCTGTTTTATTCTTAACTATGGTTGGAAATATCTATATTCAAAAGTTCCATTGCAGAATAGCTTAATGATCCTCCTGGAAATACAACACCTGACAAGTACATGCCTTAGATTCTACAGTACATTCTACTGCTCTATCTGTAAGCTGATTGAATAGAATTATAAAAACCTCAGCACCACCTGATATTAATTTTCAAATTCAGGTAAATTTGCTTGGATTGAACATCAAAACTTGCTCCATTTCCAATGAAATTTTGCCATCCAAAGCACCTGATCATTATACATTGTGTACAATGTGTACATCATTTTGCTATTGGGAAAGCCCTGTTAAATAAAGCTTAGCCTATATCTTTTATCCATGTTCCATTGGCTTATAATCTTACACCAACCCTCACCATCATGCTGGCCTGCCCCGATCAGGTTGATGAGGTTGGGGTGGTCTCCCACTCTGGTCATCTCATCCAGCTCACTGATGAAGTCATTACGATCCTTCTCTGGGGCAGAGGCTGTGCAAGGTGCAGCAAGAAAAAACTGATATGGAGAATCTTGTTTTATGTGTATGTGTAACGTTATGTGTTTGTACATGTATGGTTGTGTGTGTGTGTGTGTGTGTGTCTATGTATGCACATGTGTGTGTATACAATCAAACCTGTACCAGTGACTGCCTTTGACTAAGCAGCCACTTTAGTGAACATTTGTTGGTGGTCCTTAAGATGATTTTTTTCATTGACCAAAGAATCCTGAGGCTGTCTATTGCCACTACCTGTCTACTGTGGCCATTTTCTTCAAGCAAAGAGAATCTATAGAAAGCCAAGAACAATATATATAGAGAGTGGACACAAACCTGGATAAGAATGCCCTGATCAGGATAGCTGTGATGGAGGTTAGGAAGATATAGAGAGAGACAGTCATACAGAAGTTTTCAGTAAGCTCAACATAGCAGAGTTAGTGGTAACAACTAGTAATAACCTTAACCTACACCCTACTAGGTGTTAACAATGACAGACAAAAGCAATGGACTCTGCAGGAAGAATAGTGTTCAATATATAAATGAATGAATGAATAAATAAATGGATACTATTAGATGGATGAATTAATTAATGAACTAATGAATAAAGGAAGGAAGGAAGGAAGGAAGGAAGGGGTTGATGGATGGATGGATGGATGGATGGATGAATGAATGGGTGTGTGAATGGGTGTGTGTGTGTATGGATGGATGGATGGATGGATGGATGGATGGATGGATGGATGGATGGATGGATGGATGGATGGATGGATGGAACATTTATTGTGATCTTAATAGACCAAACTAACACCAAAAGCAGATGTTACCTTTTAACATCTTGATGACTGCTGGCTTCATTGCTCCATCCTTGTTAACTGTTCCTTTCCTGATCTCTCCAAACTTTCCTTTTCCAAGCACCTTAGGGTCAAGCTTCACTCCATCCCATGAAATAACCTGGCTTGGAATGTCTGAGTCAAAGGCTGGGTTGTCTGTGGGAAAGCAAAAATATGTTTCAGTGTATTTATAGTTGTTTTTAGTTGTTTATAGTTTTGTAGGAAGCTGCAGGGCAAATGCTTTCCAGATTTCTCACTGAATTTAGTGCTTATATTGGCTCAGATTTCTCTGTAGTACGTAACCACTTACATGAATTCTTCTCAAATTGATTGACTTCAAAAACCAATTATTACAGAACAAATGAATTATAAGTACATGCTTTTGTTAAACACAATATAGGCTGTTACAACTTGGGGCATGTGACTTGCTTAATGAGTTACACCTGAAGAAGGGTGACAAATGTGAGACCAAAAATTCGAGGTGAGCAACAGTCTATAGAGTTAAACTGAAGTTCAGATGGGCTTTCATGCTATAACTGTCCTTTAAAAATATAACCTCACACACATAGACTTACCCATACTGAAGCTGGCATCTCCTGTGGTGAGTTTTGGTCCCTTCAGTTTTGGTCCCTTCAGATTGGGTCCCTTTATATTGGGTCCCTTCAAGTCTACATCAACACCTGCTGTTGGTTTCTTCTTACCCCCAAAGCAGCCACCTTTTTCAGCATCTAGAGGTCTTCCTTTCACATCAACCTTCGGCGAGTCAAGACTCACTCCTCCCTTGACACGAGGTCCTTTTACATCCATGCTGGGAGCCTTGGGGCCTTGAACGTCAAACGACGGGCCCTGAGCATGTAGCGGTGGACCATGCGGTCCCTTGATGCCAAAATCTGCTTTTCCTCGTGGTAATTCTGTTTCGATACCAGGTGCCTTCATGTTCACTCCACCTTCAGGGAGACCAATATTCCCCTTTGGACCCTTCACGTTAACACCTGGCATCTTGGACCCTTCAAGTCTAAATCTGGCTTTGAAAAACTCATGCCTGGCATCTTGATCCCTCCTTTGGCTTCTGGCAGGTCCATGTCAGCATCGATGGATCCACTTGGTAGCTCTGAATCCACGTCAAAGTCTGGACCTTTTACTTTAGGACCTTTGAAAGATGGCAAGTTGAAATCTGGCATGTCTGGCATCTTGAAACCACCCTTAGCTTTAGGAAGGTCAACATCAGCATCAATGTCAGCAGATGGTAGACTGGCATCTACATCAACATCTGGACCCTTTACTTTGGGGCCTTTGAGATTGAAATCTGGCATGTCTGGTTTTCCCATGTTAAAACCAGGCATCTTAAAACCACCTTTGGCTTTAGGAAGGTTAACATCAGCATCTATGTCTGCAGATGGTAACTCTGCATCAACATCTACATCTACATCAGGGCCTTTTACTTTAGGACCTTTGAAAGAGGGCAAGTTGAAATCTGGCATGTCTGGCATCTTGAAACCACCCTTAGCTTTTGGAAGGTTAACATCAGCATCTATGTCTGCAGATGGTAACTCTGCATCAACATCTACATCAGGGCCTTTTACTTTAGGACCTTTGAAAGATGGCAAGTTGAAATCTGGCATGTCTATATCTGGCATCTTGAAACCACCCTTAGCTTTTGGAAGGTTAACATCAGCATCTATGTCTGCAGATGGTAACTCTGCATCCATATCCACATCTACATCAGGGCCCTTTACCTTAGGACCTTTTAGATTGAAATCTGGCTTTTCGATGTTAAAACCAGGCATTTTGAAACCGCCCTTAGCTTCAGGAAGGTTAACATCAGCATCAATGTCTGCAGATGGTAGACTTGCATCCACATCTACATCAGGGCCCTTTACTTTAGGACCTTTGAAAGATGGCAAGTTGAAATCAGGCATGTCTGGCATCTTGAAACCACCCTTAGCTTTAGGAAGGTCAACATCTGCATCAATGTCTGCAGATGGTAGACTTGCATCTACGTCAACATCTGGGCCCTTTACTTTAGGACCTTTCAGATTGAAATCTGGTTTTCCAATGTTAAAACCAGGCATCTTAAAACCGCCCTTAGCTTCAGGAAGGTTAACATCAGCATCTATGTTTGCATCCATGTCCACATCTGGGCCTTTTACTTTAGGACCTTTTAAGTTGAAATCTGGCATCTGTGGTTTTCCAATGTTGAGATCGGGCATCTTAAAACCACCCTTAGCTTTAGGGCCTTCTAGATTGAACTCCATATCTTCATACTGATGGTCAATGTCAATATCAGGTGATTTCAGGTTTACAGTTGGTACTTTGGGAGCATCCATGTCAACATATGGAGCTTTAGGACCTTTCAGATGTACATCTGGCATCTCAGGACCTTTCACGTTCATCTTTGGACCTTTGACATCAACATCAGGCACTTTTGGACCAGAAACGTTTCCTTTGACATCAGGTACGTCCATTTCTATTCCTCCTTTGGGTTTCTTTGGCTTCTTCAAACAATTCAGACCGCCTGATTTCTTCGGTTTCTTCATGTGAACGTTAGGGCCATGCAGATCAACATCTCCCTCTACATGTGGGGCTTCAATGTTTGCCCGAGGTCCTCTGAGCTCTCCTCCAGCCCTTGCATCAATGTTCGCCTGGGGCCCCCTGATGTTTGTATCCATCTCTATGCCTCCTTTAGGCTTCTTTGGCTTCTTCAAACAATTCAGACCGCCTGACTTCTTTGGTTTCTTCATGTGAGCTTTAGGTCCACGAAGATCAACTTCTCCCTCTAGTTGAGGAGCGTTGGCATCGATATTTGGCCCTCTGACGTTCATACTTGGAGCATTGAGGTCAGCACCTGCTCGAGCATCAATGGCCGGGGAGTAGACCTCTATTCCTTCACCAGTCTTCTTCTTTTTCTTCCCGAAACAGGATGTCTTGGCAGAGTCCTTGGGGGTTTTTACGACAGGAGGGGAGCCAGGATGGAGAGATAGCCCTGCCGACGACTGCACACCTGGGGCATCAACCCTGCCTGAAACACCTGGAATAGCAGCTGCGCCTGAAACACCTGGAACATTGGCCCTGGCTGAAACACCTGGAACATCTGCCCTGCCAGAGACTCCCCCTTTGCCCTGCATTCTTCCCTCCACATCAAATGAGGCTTTCTTCCTACCACCTCCGCATTTCCTGCAAATAAAGTCACATCAATTTGATATTAGCATTTAGCTTCGGTAAACTGGTTCTACAGGTAAGATACTAGGTCAAATGGTGGAGAATTTCACACTTACAAACTTTGAGCACCTTCTTTTGCCAAGGAGAACTTTTTGAGAGAATTTGCCTCTTGGTCTCTTGAGAGAATCTGGTCATTATTTTGGTATATTACATAATACTAACTGATGGTTCTCAAAAGTGACACATAGTGTATGTAGTAATTAAAGTAACACATGAAAATGTACATACTTCCAGCAGAAGTACAGCAGTGGTATGAGTGCACAGAGGAACAGGGCTCCACCAATAAGCCCTGCAGCGATCTTGCCCGCTGTTGATTGAAAAATGCTAGTTCCTGTAGAACTCGAACCAGCAAGGGGTGCTGTTGTCACGGGGGCCATGTAGGCACTGGAGGAGTAGGTTGGCTGCAGGTACAAACATAGAAATACATGATTGTAAATTAAGTCATTGCTCAACAATTGTTCATGATTTAAATGTACTTCAACTTTGATATTGGTGAAATTTCTAGTAGTCGCTTTTCATGCAGTAATTCTTACTCCTAATGTTCACATCCACCATTGCAACTCAGATTAACATTCATGTTATTATACAACAATCTCTTGGGATGAGTGAGAAGCACTCAGTGAATAAACATGTATCATTACAACAAAAAGGTTAAACATGCAGACCAACACTTAGTAAATTGGGACCCAAATTTTTACCCAAGAACAATACTCCTAAGGACACATCTCTTGCCAAGGCATAATGAATTATACCAACACAGATGAACTTTCATGCTGATGTATCATTACACATTAGGAAAGCTATTGAGAAGGTTAAAAGAAAAAGCAAGTGCATACATGGGACTGTATGTATCATTTACAATGGAAATAATTTAGAGTACAACATTTGAAGTTAGTACATGACGTACATACCGGTTGGTTGCCTTGAGGTGAGAATGCCCTGGCAGTCATGGTGTAGGGTGTGCTTGGGTTGAGAGGGTTGTTGGTGAAGGTGGTGCCAAACACGTCCTGATTGGTCAGCGCACGTCTGACCCTTGATCCCGAGGCTGTTGGGGGAGGCTGGCAGCTGGTCTGCCGCCCATCTCCAAGTGTGACTGTCTTCCGCCTGCCCACAGTGTCTCTAGATAGACACAAGACAGAAGAAATTGTTAATCTTTTAATTGACATACTAGCCTGGTATCCATCCTTAAAATGCTGCGACAGTGTGGGATCCATATACAAAGAAAGACAAAGATAAACTGGAAAGGGTACAGAATCAAGCTGCAAGATTCTGTATGAACAACTATGAAAGCGGTGCTGGTGTAACGGAAATGAAAATTTAAGAAAACTACAGTGGGGGTTGCTGAAAGACAGACGAAAAATGTCCAGACTGTGCATGATGTACAAAATGACTAATAAACTGGTGGACGTCCCAATCATAACTGACTAAGTATCTGATACCAGCCCAGAAAAGAACCTGAAACAGTCATGCCTTCAAATATCAGAGTTATCAACCAAGAATTGAGGTGTTCAAAAACTCCAAGAAGTTTCCAAGAACGATAGTGTGTGGAAGTCTCATTGCACATTTGGGGTCTCATCACTAGAAAGCTTTAAACAACTCCTGCAATTAAATGTGCAAAGATTGAGTGTAACAAGCCGTTTCGGAGTGATATAGCTAGCTGCTGCCGCGCTGCGTGCCTGCAAAGCTGGTGTGTTACACCTAAGGGCAATTATACTGGCTATACCGATACAGATATCTTCATGAGATGTAGCCTGGTATTCATGCTTCACTCTGTGGTTGCTCTATCAATTACCCATTTCCCTATTCATAACCTGTTTGAATATACAGTTTATTTTCTGCATATCTTTCAACTTACCCAGGATGTGCAGCAGCTACATAGGCCTTGTAATTTTTTCCAGAGGCATTAGCCTGGCTGTAATTGTTGAACACTTCCAGATCTTGTGGCTGTGGAAGGTCATCAGTTGTCATTCCATTTTTCAGCTCAACGACTACAACCTGGTAGCACCTGGGAAAAAAAAGACATTGCTTTGTTTTATGGGGAGAAATAGCTGTGAAAGACTAAGAAAAAACTAGTAGAAGTACATTTAATGAACTTATTAAGTAACAAACAAGGACAGAGAACACAAAATCATGGAAGAGTTGCAAACAAGCTCAAGTTTATGTGAGTCCAACAAAACCTCCTTTTCCCTCCTTGTGACCACAAGACTAAACCAGACAAAGTAAATGAACTTACAGTGAGTCTTAAAACCCTATTGTTAGCCATATGCACTCAGTCTGTATAAAACTTACCCCACAGGTATGTACATGTATAATTGATCATTTTTTGATGGGATGAGAATACCAGAAAAAAGTACACAATGATTACTGGGAGCAAAAGTCTAATGGAACAGTAAGTTGTAAGGTGCTGTTTTGACTCACCCCACAGATCCGTATCGTGTTTGAGCTCCATACAGCCACACAGGGATGGTTCGGTCACCTGTAGCCTGTTCACTATTTCTTTCTGGAGCACTTGCCAGAGGGACAACTGGAAATTGTGCAAATAAAGAGAAATTCTAAGTCATATCCACCTGTGCTAAATGTTGTTATTGAATTGATAAGCAGGACCAGACAGTCAAAATTATTTATGATTCAAAATGTAATTTAAAAAAGGTATCATTTGAAAAGCAAAATATGCATTGCAAAATGTGTACCTTAAATTGCATATGGTCTGCTCTGTAAATTCTTACTCAACATTCAAACACATTCATATATTTATATGGTCAGAAAGGAGTCTAAATCCCTCCTGCTATAAAATTGCAACATGATGTAACCTAACACTAGTTACCATGGTAACAGTCTGGATCAGGTCATTGACCTTTTTGGTTTGGTGAAGAGGAAGAAGAGGAAGAAGAAACACTGAGCAAAAACAATCATTGTGTTTAGACATGTTAGCTTGTAGCCTAGGAAGACAATTGATCTCCTGATATACTAGTATTGAAAGAAAATGTGTTTTATTGACAGATTGACAGATTGATTGACAAACTGCTGATATACGATGCATTGTTGATATGAGAACTTGAAAGTGTGCCTCTGAGCTGGCTGAGTGACTAAAACAAGATAGTCAGCAAGCAATTCTGTAAGTTGTACATGTAACATCCGTGTCCATAATATCACCAGGGTCCATAATATCGCCACCTTGAGAAAAAGGGTGCTTAAAGATATTTTTACTGCAACATACCTTTGGTATGCACTCCTGCACACCTCAAATGTACATACCTGGGGTATGTTGCAGTAAAAATATCTTTAAGCACACTTTTTCTCAAGGTGGCGATATTATGGACCCTGGTGATATTATGGACACGGATGTTAGTTTGTACACCACAGTTTTTACTTATTGCACAAATTACATGTTATATGTATATATTAACTGATAAATTCTTGTGCAGAGAGAAGCCAAACAGTTAACCTTTACCTGCCAGTGGTGGTACTGTGCAGTTGACCTCTTTACTGTAACCACCCCAGCCATGCTGTGACCTGGCCCGGACTCGGAATGGGTAGACAGAGTTGGGCTTTAGCAGCCTCATAACTACAGGTGAAACAGAAGACTTCTGGAAAATTTCTGCCCGAAGTGTCAACAGGGTTGAGTTTCTGGTGACAGTATCCAACTCATTTTCATGAACATTGTCATCTTGGACAGGTAGCTTGGCTTTAGCAGTCACCTGTAACATACCATTTGGTATTATAATACTAACTCAGTACTGTAGATGATAGGTAGTATATAGTACTGTTGTACTATATATACATGTAGACTCCTAGCACTTAGTATTAGAATACAGTATAGCGTTCCAGTATGCAATGCCACATTTGGTCAAATTTGTGCATTTAGCCCATCTGTGCAAGAACATCCAATAAAGGTTCAATATCTTCCTACCCTATGAAGTGATACTCAGTTATGATTATTATAATAGTAATATTTAATATTAGATTATAATTATGTCATATATAAGAGAGTTACTCCCAAACAGAGCTCAAAATTAACAATTGCTCCAAAGTCTGTAGTCTCCTTAATGCCCTTCTTGTCTTCAAACAAGACTTCATATTTTCATTTTCCAGTTAGGACTTTAGTTCTTGCATTAGACAAATCCAGTGAGAAATGCTTGAAATCCTTATTCAGGGATGAGTTGACATTTTCCAAAATGTGTAATTTTAGAACCTTTCTTTAAAATTTGCTGCTTAAAGATGACTTTTAAAAGCAAATTGGGACATGCAGAATCAATCCAAAATCAGAAATATACAATGTACCTGAGAAATATCAAATCTGTAAATTCAATGTCTACCATAAAAGCAGTTACTGTAAATTAATACATGTAGGTTTGTATTAATTATGATACCCCAAACATGTCTGAAAAGTGTGACTATCAGACTAACACAGTAGAAGCACATTTAAGATAAACAGTGGTGTTAAACATACTTGGTACTCTTGAATTTGGAGACCAGGTAGTGGTGGGGGGTCCCAAGAAATAATACAATTTATATCCGATTCCTGTAGTTCAATATTAATGGGTGCTGTCTGGTCTGTAAAGAAAATCAAACAATAAACATCAGTTGCACAAAATCTGTGTGAGTTGTTACCTAATGTCTTCCAGTTGTTCAACAAGATGCTATAATAATTGTTCACATACTAATATTAAAAGGATTATATATAATTTATACCCATAAAAAGGTACTATAATCCCACTTCTGGTTTACATGTATACATGTGTGTAAGTTTACTTTTCAGCAATATATTGCCATTGCCTCGCTGTCAAGATGTTAAGTTTACACATATTTACTCAATATCATTAATTTATATCATAATCATGGAAACATTTCAAACTGTACTGTATGATTGTGCAACTTGTGTTTTAACTTTCCACACACAAGGATTGTAACTACTGTGGTGTAAAGTTATCCAAATTTCTAACCTTAACATCATATATTAGGCATTAAAAAGAAGGGAAAGGGCCACCACTTCGGCTTACCATGGATTGACCTGAATTTAGAACCATTAATTTTTGTGCTGACACCACCTACCAATGCAGGTTCTCATATCCGGCCCTAGTAGGAAGTTGGTATCACAGGTACATGTGAAACTTCCTCTAGTGTTGGTGCAGGTGTGGTCACACTGGCCATTGTTGGTCAGACACTCATTTACATCTGAAGAAGAGAAGACATTCTTCAGGAAGACACATCTGTACATTAAAGGACAAATCCAATACTTTCAGTTTTGGGGCCTTTCCACCCAAAATCCTATTTGTAAATGGTGATTTATTGGTTTCTGTCAACCCCGCACATACTTGCGGTGATATCTGACCCGCCCGATGTTCCCCGGCTAGCGCACGTTTGTCCGCTAGGCGGCGCTGCGACTGGACCTGATACGTCACCGGTTCCAGCTTACATAGATTGCAAGATATCGGCCTCGTCGTTTCGGGAAAACAGTACGAGTGAAAACGATGCTGACGGAAAAGGGAAAAGAGTTGGGCGGAAGTGTCAGGCGACGGGGGAGCCACCTGTTAGCCCGGCTCTAGTTTTACCTCCTGGTAAATAACGTTACATAAATAACGTTGGCTATTCCGTAAATAATTCAGCCACGTTTGGGATTGCATTCTCGCCGCAAAAGCGCCACCTACATTGGCGTTAAATAGCGGCGAGTTGCAGAACTCCAGTCAGAAGCTCTGAGGAAGGTGTCTGATAGACATCGAAACGTAAGCAGGTGAGAAACCCTATGGTTGTGTAAGAAGAAAATTCTATACCCTAACGTTGGCTATTACTGCTATGGTTTTGCCGCTCTTGGCGTTTTTACATTATCCATGACGATTTCAAGACCAGGTGCCCCAAACTGCTGCGAATTTTTCTATTACTTGTTATCCATGGCGATGTCAACTCCCGTTGACTCCAAATGTCAGATTAGCAATATAAAATTGTGAATTGTTCAACCAAAACGTGTGCCAAACCACGGACTTCAATAAACCACGGACACTTAACAGAACTTAAGAACTTTTCCTGTATCTATCGGCTAACAACACATCATTTTCCTGTAAGTGGTTTACCGGTGACAATGCCCTGAAGTCAATACTTGGGACAAATGGGGGTCACACCTGACATGTTAGCCTCTATCAGGCCTCAGAGACGGCTGGAAACAGTAGAGCGGCAAACTGTACTGGTTTAGCGGACCAAGGACATCTGTCTATAATGTCCTTGAGCGGACGAACTACCATGGCCCGTTGTCTGTCTATTTGACGAATCTCTACTCTCTCCAGTCGCCTCTGATAACTCGTGTGTGAATGATATGACGATTGGAAAAGAAATAAGCGCTAAGATTATTCCTGACTTCAGCCTTTTCAGCCGAAGTGCACCTCCAACATTCTTATCAAATTTCTGCGTACAACAGCAAATCTATCAACGGTGTACCCTCAACAGAAAGCTGGTTGTCATTATAGTCATTAATATTGTATAATCTATCTAAGCTGGGACATTGGCAGATTTTTTCATTGTGTTTCTGACAAGACCTTTAGAATATGCAGACCACAGATTTGTCATCATTTAGGGGTCATGGAACATTCTAATTAGAGGGTGTGGCCATCGTATCTATTCAAAAGACCTGGGCATGCGCATAGGTGACTTGTCGAACTACCTTCAAGTTTCTCTAAGATGATCTATTTTTAAACATGACAGTCACATTACATGATGTTGGTGGAATTTTTGGGATGTCAAAAAGGGCTTTGTTACACAATGGGAAGACTTTCACAAGGGCTTTAAGGTAGTTGAACTGTAAACGGATGTGAATTCTTAGCCCAAAGTATCAGCAAAGAACTCCGGGACGAACCACACAGAACATGGTTTTAGAAGCGACCCGGTTTAACAACTGTAGGTTTGATTTGCTGTACATTTTTTAACGCGTTTTGTACAGTCATTTTCCGTAATCTCGATATTATACATGTACACCCCCTCCCACCACGTCCCTTGGTTCGTCCCTGCCTTGAGGCGGTATAAATGACGTCATGTTGATGATCTGGGTAGGAAATACATCTACAAGAACTCGGGTGTGTGTGTAGTAACCTCCGAAATCACGTTTGACATGTATGACAACCTGGTTTACTTCTGCTAATTACCGGTATCAAAGTAATAAGAGGTAATTTGTAAAAGGTCATCCTCTGTCTCTGGCTATCTTGGCGTACCGGGTGGACGCTGGTTGCTGTGTGCGTTTTACATGGATGAATTAAATGAATGAATGAAGACCTTTATTGTACACACATACCCACTGGGTTAAGTACAGGTCACAAAAGGATTAAAAACAAAAACAGATTGATGTCAACCCCTTGATACCACAAATACACGCGCGCGCGCGCCCACACACACACACACACACACACACACAAATACGTCAATGCACATACACACTCAGAGAGGCCCATTTGCCTTTTCAATGAAAAGAAAATGATCATTTCCTGACGACGTTGTGCATGTGTTCGCTGCCTCACTGTTCTAACATGTACCTCTGATTTGTTTGTATGTTTGTTTGTTTGCTTTTCTGGTTTGTCCGTTTGTTTGTTTGTTTGTTTGTTTGTTTGTTTGTTTGTTTGTTGAATCTTACAGTAAATCAAATCTTACAGTAAATACGCCGTCGTTGCTCTGATCTTGACAAAGTATAACGTTACAAAGTATTACTTTACAGGCATTCCTCCTAACAAATGACAGAAATCTTCACCTGCAGTGCAGTACTGTGAGATGAGACAGGCGGTGACAATGAAGGTCAGAATGGCCGCCATGTTTGTCCTCCTGTCGAACACGTTCCGCTGAAAACACATGGCAGGGTGGTTTTTATAGTTAACGACCTTGGATATCCCAAGGATACTGTTTCAAGGACAGTAACAATAGTATAACTATATACGTAAACTCCTGTTATTTGTCTTCAAGACACAGAGCTGTGATCATACCTTTACGTATGTGCTTGGTAAATCTAATATAATTTTGCTCATTGTTTAGCAATAAAAATACGTTTACTGGAGTTGTACAAAGAATGTAGCTTGCTTGGGGGAAGGAGGGCTAGTGCGCTAGTGATAATTACTATGGTCACTGCCTACTGCATGTACCTGCATTGAGAATGCTAGTAGACGATTGTAGCTATTCTATTGTAACCGTACCGGGCGTTGAAACAGACAGAAAAGTGTGTTAAAGTTCCTCATATTCCCCAATGAGAGCTTCGAAGTGACTGTGCAAAATTAGCGACGCCGTAGTTACAAGATTGGGCATTGGAAATTAATCATTAGAAAGGGTTGACAAGGACTGTCTCCAAGTCACTATAACTAGCCAGAACATCAAGCTCAAACATAACTTTATATCTTGGTAAGGTGTGTGAGCACCTATATACACACCGATCGTATTAAAAGTCAGAAATCTACCTTGATGGTATGTTTTTGTCACAATGGAGCCCACAAAACTATTACCCCACCAAAAAGACACGCAGAAACTTATGACAACGTTAATAACAGCTATAGCTAGTACACGAGATCAAGAATTGTCTCTCCGAACTTCATACCTGAGATTTCACCTCTTAACCGCGGTTAGTCCAAGTTAGAGGAGAGAGCGAAGTCATCCCAGCGCCGCTGCCCGACGGTTGCCGCATGCAGAATAGCGCACATTCCTGAGCCCGTCCAGTTCAATGCTGATTTTAGCCCCAGGCGAACTGTGGTACATAACATGGGCACCGGCGAGGTGCGATTAGCCCCAACCCAAATTATACACACTTCGTGAACACGATTAAAAACAACACGAGGTCATCAGACGAACATCTGTGAAACCTTTAAGTCGGAATGCCAGAACCTGAACGATTATTCCAAATCTCTACAAAGCGTATTGTTCGACAATAATCTTCAGACCATTGTGGCAAGCTTTTAGCCGAATATTTTCCACCACCTGGGTACAGACCTTGGGTGTGGTCTATCGGGACGGATGTGTCATACGAAGGATTGGTCTAAAGTATGTAGAAGAACAAGAAGCGCCGAATTCCAAAGGTGGTGCTTGTTGAATATCAGGCATGCTTTTCAATGTATTGTGTTGGTTGGGTCATGGCGAATATAGAGGGGAGGGGTAAAAAAACAGTCGTGGGAAAGAGAGATAGTACATTGCAGGAGCAGCAAAAGTACAACAGCTACGATTGATCATTTAAGCCTCAAGGCGAAAGATATGTTTACCACATAGCCAAGGGACTATCTATGGGTACATCTGTGTGGAACTATATTTCTATTGTCAAAGACATTCTAACACCTAATTAGAACTTAATAACCGACATCTGTCTTTGATACCTAATGTCTCTGAAAAGGGGACAATAGTATGGTGTGTTGTCTAAAGCTAGAGATGGGGTTCGTCTTAATTAGTGGTCCGAAATTCAAACACCAGAAGTTTAAGTAAGGAAGGGAGTAAGAATAGCGTTGTCTTCAGACAGTAGGCAAGAGCGACAACATTTTATGGGATGATATCAATTTGAATTTGTAAATTATTCTGCATTCGCTCGCAGATCATTTCCTAGGCTCACCTTCTAAACCCATCAACCAAACCTAAGTCTTTTCATTTGAAAATGAAGCAAGAATAAGTCACTTTTTGCCCCCTTGAATCTTACAACGGGCTGTTTCATCCTAAATATCAGCAGCAGCTCATCCCACAGCCCAATATGCATCCTCCATCCTCGACGTCCCTTTATTTAGCAATAATTATAGAAATCGTTAGCGAGATGAAAAAGCTTTTTAGCACAATTTGCGTTCCAATTACCACAGAAATGGTTATACCAGATTCCATTTTGTACGTACAATTAGACGTTAAACACATTGTGTCAACGTTATCGAGAGAGGGTGCGGCATGTTTCTACCCTAGTTTTTACCTCAAAGGTAATGAAATAGCTGATACGTTGTACATATAGTAAAGGTAAAGTGGAAAATACATAGAATTCACGAATATGTAGAAAATTTAACTGTGGAATACATGCAGAATCAAAAGGTTGCCACTTCTTTCAATCAATAGCAGTTGGCGCAGTTTTACATTAGTGTTAATCCAGTCTGTGTAAATGGGTGTTACGCGCACATTTTCTACAGGCCGTGTTAATGTGCTGTTGAAGGGTTTCCAATTTTCCCTGTCATCACGGGGAAAACAAGCGCACAGAAAGGACGTGTGAAAACTGCAGTGGTTCCTGATTCAGATGATCGTAGGGAGGCGGTTTTGTCGGAGATGCCGACCTACGTGGAACAGAAGCCGTCTGTCGGCATGGGGAACAGCGCGCTACCGTGTCTGTGCTGGCTGGAGGTAGGTGTGATAGAGGTACGTGGGTGCTCTGTGTGCTTTCCTACCAAATTTTTTGAGAGAAGAGAATTGGGGACATAACATACACCAGTTGACAGACTATGTGCAGATACTTCACTAGTAAATCAAAAGTAAAGGTATCGATGAGTAGTAGGCTGTATGAAACAACTATAATAAGAAATGCAGATAAACTTGCTACTGAAATTGCGTTCTGGTGACAAAATGACCTCCATGCAAATATACACCTGTCTGACTACCTATAGGCTGTATTTCTCTATGCGAACAGCGCCCGAACACCATCTGTGTCTATGTAGGCACATTTCTAGTCATTCATCTACATACCAAGTTGAAACCACACTAGATCTATCCCAATGTATATTGACCCTCATGGATCAAAAATTCCCAAAATTCTGACGGAAAATGGTTACTGGAAGGGCCCTGAGCTGATTTAAGGGTACCACCCAGAAAATACAGGACTCATCTTGGGGCTTGTTTCTGCAGTTTTAAAAGACCAAAGTATGAAATGCTGACTCAAAGGTGCCAATGTAAAGCAGTATGTGTCATTATCACAAAGACTGCCTTATTCAGAATATTTCCAGTTTTGCTGCCCTGAAATGGCATTGGATGTCAGGCGTTTGTAACGCTTCCCCGATGGTTTTTTCGTCCCTGTAGTTGTTCCTGTTCGGCGGGCTGGTGACTCTCGCCTACCTGCTGCACTTCACAGAGATCATCCCCGTGGTGCAGCAGGGGTTCGTCTGCCAGGACATCGCCCTGTCCAAGCCGTTCTCCGGCCCGAGCGAGGCCGTGCCCTGGCCCGTCCTGTACGCCATGGCGTTCGGAGCGCCCGTAGTTCTGGTGAGAGGAAGTACTTACGCAAAAAAATTAGCTCAAGCAACTGGATATGATTTTGGAAAGGGTAAATAGTTCGTGCTTATAAACCTGCCTTTCTCATGCAAGTCTCTAGTGTCACTGAAACGTCTGGCCGTTTTCAAAATCATATCCAGTTGCTTGAGTAACTTTTTTTACTTAGACTTAGGGGCTCCCGCGTCTCGTGACGCATGAGGCAGTCAAAGCAGCCCAGCTTCCTCTGTCAGCAGCCAGCCTCAAGGCTTCCTTCCAGCTCATGCTGACTGCCTGAAGGTCCCTCTCCACTGTCTGTCGCCAGTTCATCTTCGGGCGCCCCCTCCTTCTCCGTCCTTCTGGGAACCACTGTAGGACTTGGTTGGCTAGTCTGACAGGTGGAAGTCTGACAGCGTGTCCTAACCAGCTGAGCCGGCGTTTGCAGATGATGGAGGACACTGGTTGCTGCTTAGTTTGAAGTCTGATGTTATTATTCGAGATAAAGTCATCCCATCTAATGCCCAGGATTTTCTTTAGACACTTGCTGTCGAAGGCATCAAGTCTCCTTTCTTGACTTAGTTTCAGGTGCCAGGTTTCGCAGCCATACAAAAGTGTTGACAGGACGTTGCTGTTGTAAAAGCGCATCTTGGTCTTGAGGGACAGTTTCTTGTTTCTCCAGAGTTTGCCCAGCTGGTTAAATGCTGCTGAAGCCTTACCAACTCTGCAGTCAAGTTCTTTGTCCATGTCACCATTGCTATTGATGGAGCTTCCAAGATAAGTGAAGTTTTGAACTATTTCCACTTCCTTCTCATCAATGAACACAGATGTAGGTGGCGGATGAGATCCTGTCAGCATATTCTTGGTCTTCTTGCCACTGATGGTGAGGCCTATTCCTCCTGCTGTGGAACCAATCTCGCTCACTAGGGCCTGGAGGTCCTTTGTGGATTCTGCTAAGCCGGCAATATCGTCTGCGAAGTCAAGATCAGACAGTCTTTGTCCTTGCAGCCATGGTATTCCTTTATCCTTAGTTGACTGTTGCAGCACCCAATCTATGGCAAGGGCAAACAGAATTGGAGACAGCACACATCCCTGGCGGACCCCAGTCACTACCTCAAACCACCCGCTGAACCCACTGAACCCACTGAACTTTTTTTGGCGTATCTTATTACCTGGATGTCTAACCTTCACCGACGTACAATCATCTTAAACATATGCATTGTAGCACAGCTAACCCAAATTAGCACTGCATCTGTCTTGGGATCCCCAAAGAACCATGTAATCTTAGTAGTCATCCTTCTTCCATCTCGAAAGATGAAGTGCAGATGACAATAAGAAAATCACTTCCAGCGTCATATTGCATATAGAGAGACGCCCATCTCCGTTTAGCCCTTGGGCCTTTGGACGAGCATAAGAATAGGGGGCTATATAGCTAGTGCACTGGTAATGTACAGATGTACATCATGCATCAACTATCAGTAACGATTGTATCACGCCCATATAGCACCAAACCTGCTCCGTTCTGTCTTAATCAAAATGTTCCACGAATGAGATAGAATGGTACCCGCTACAGATCGTGGTGGGAGAGTTGAGTCCCGTGCTGTACCAGTTGGGTCTGGGCGCCATGCGGGACCAGGCCGCCACTGCAGGCCAGCAGGGCGTGCCCACTTTTCTCCGCCGGCTCGTCAAGTTTACCGGTAATGTTGCCTGTCGCTTTCCTTTCGTTTCACAGTTTAGATGTTTTGGCATTGTAATGGACATCATTGAAACTTTCCTTATAAATTTTACAGTCAAACATGTCTATGGTAACCACAGCAAGCTAAGTCACTTTTTAAATTCAAATGTTCACGGTAGACAGGTGGTCACTATTGACAGGATTCCTTATGCTTGATAGCCTGAGCCTCTACCAGGCTTCGGGACGCGGCAATTAAAAATGTACCATCTAGCAGACCAACTCCCTCGGTATGTTACCTCTCTATGTGGCCAATTTCTATTCTATCCAGTCCCCTCCCGAAGCCTGGTAGAGGCTATATGCTTGGAAAAATAATGTAAAGGACCACAAAGCAGTGACCAGGTTAGCTAAACTGGTATCTATGCACGTACATGTGGTCACTACTACAGTTTTGAAAGTATATTCTAGCGGTATAAAAGGAAATATCATAACATTAAAAGTCTAACCCATTGTTCCCAGGCCTGCATCTATTTGGAGGCTGCTCGGCGCTGGTCCTGTGCGGACTGGGCCAGGTGATGACCGGAAGTCTGGCTCCGTATTTCCTGTCCGTCTGTAGCCCGAACTACACCCTCCTGCCCGTGGTGTCGGCCTCCTCTGACGGCCCCTCCTGCGTTCCCGCCACTTTCATCTCAGACGACATCTGCGCGGGCAAGGCTGAGGACATCTATAGCGCAAGGTGGGTACTTCTGGGCGGGCGAACTCTTGTTCCTGTCAAATAAGTTTTTTGGACTAACGGTAGATACATTTAAACTTTAAAGACATGTCAGTGATGTTTTAAGACAAGATAAAAGCCAGACACTTTTCTTCAAATTTCATGTATTGGATGTATCTATGAAGTTGACAAGAAACTGCCCCTTATAAGCCGTGCCATACAACACGTGCTCACGTCTCAAATAGGAAAAGTGTCGTTGTAAAGATGGACTTTTTGTGTAAACCTACATTACCTGTTACAATTTGATGTAAGTGGTGTGTGAAAAAGTGACGCAATGACACTTGTTCCTACACAGACGGTCCTTCCCGTCCCTACATGCCACTCTGAGCTGGTACGCCGCTGTCTTCATGGCGGTAAGTTTCCCGTACGTACATGATAAAGTCTGAAGGTTCCTTCCTTCCAAACCAATAAGGTCAATGACCTGAACCAGATAACTAGTACTGGGTTACATCATGTTGCAATTTTATAGCAGGAGGGATTTAGAGTCCTGTCACTATATATTAATGTACTTGAGTAAGAACTAACAGAGCAAACCATATGCGAAGGTAGACATTATGCATTTGCTTTACAAATGTTACCTTTCTAGTGTAACAGTTACATTTGACATCCTTGCTGCTTGTTCATGTTTAGTGACAAGCTAACGATTTATCCTACCCCGTACCCCCTCTAGCTGTACGCGTCCTCTGCGCTGTGTCTGCGCGGCACCAGACTGATCCAGCCGCTGCTGGTGATGGGTCTGCTCGCCCTGGCGTTCCTGAGCGCCGCCAGCCGGGTGACGGAATACCGCAGCCACGCCGTGGACGTTCTGGGCGGGAGCGTTTTGGGAGCCGCAATCGCCGTGTATCTGGTAGGGTTCCTTTCCTGTTGTCCCCAAGTATCTGTAGCATTTCTTAAATAAGTGAGACACGAAGACAAAAGCCATCCGCTCCATATAGAAGGCGGCCACCACGTGGTATTAAGACTTGTACAGTAGTGTGGATGGCGTTCAGCACCAAGGAGAGGGTCCATTCCAGCACTACTAGCTGCGGTATCGCTGCGGTATGTTTGCCAAACTTGCCTAATGGTTCTAACATGCTATAAAGAAATATTTGTTGGCTTTAGGACATGTTTGCTCGGTTGTCTGGGCCTTTGTTAGAGATATTCAACACCGTAAAACAGGATTTTCCTAGCTCCCCCGATAACACGTGCACCAGCAATTAACAAGGCTATCTTTCACCTTTTCTGTACAAAGCCTTGAAAGGATACCTGTTGACATTACCGTGGATAGTATTTGTGATTGTCCCGTCTCCTCAGTCCGTGGCGGTGCTCGGCTGTTTCCGGGTGAAGCCTGCAGTTCCCGGGGACGTGGCGGGGCAGGGCGGCACCCCTCCCGAGGACCGAGTAGCTGTCATCACCCTGCCGCGCCTGCCCAACATCCCGGGCGGTCCCGGACCGTCTCCCCGCCACTACGTCAGCATGACAGAGGTAGTCGCACCCATACTTATACTATTTGTTTGTTTGGCTGGTTTGTTTGTTTGTTTGTTTGTTTTATTTAGATTTCCATCAGTGATACATCACTTTTAATCCTGGAGTCGAAAATAAAAGAATACAAAGTATAACAACAAAATGTACAAATATACACAAAAAAAGTTACTCAGTGTGAATTCAAAATCAGAATGGGTGATTGCGACGGTAAAAGTAAAATGCTGATACTAGCAGCAGCAGTCAGAAATAAATAAATGAAAATGTACAAAAATTAAACCGTACAATGCATATGCACAAAATATGTACGTAATATACTTGAATAATGATTACTTTACCGCGATAACTCCCCCCCATTTCGTCGATGTAGAACGGTGCAGGTATCCAGCTGACGCCCCCGAACGTGCCCTACGCCTCCCGGATGTCGGCCATGCCTGCGGAGGAGGGGTCCGGGGCGGCAGCGGCCGTGGCTGGCGGGAACCTGCTGCAGCAGATCCGGCAGAGCAGGCTGCAGCAGCTGTAGTCTTCTTCTCACAACACCGGCTTCTCGTTATTTGTAGCCATGCTGGAGTACGCCTGTTACACACGCCAACATGGTGCTGTATGTACCCCAATATGGCCGCCAGGGGATTCAGCAACTGTAGACTTTCTCCTATTGGCTATCTGTTTGCGCCATGCTGGAGTACGCCTGTTACACACGCCAACACGGTGCTGTATGTACCCCAATATGGCCACCAGGGGATTCAGCAACTGTAGTCTTTTTCTTATACTGGCTTTCCGTATGTAATTGTTTGCGCCATGTTGGAGTACCTTGTACGTCTGTTACACACGCAAACATGCTGCTGCTGTACTACAACATGGGGAATCAGCAGGTATAGTCTATAGGCGTCTTTTTCTTACAAGTAGCATTTCACTGTGGTCTGCAACCTATCATGATTGTGGATTTAAATTGTAACGTTACATGTATCCATAGAAATGATTTATATATGGCTTAAAAACCTGTAAACATGAAAGCATTACTGTGACAATCTGCACATGTATCAAATAGAGAAAGCTGTTAATACATGGATGAAGGTTAGACATTAAGGTAATACGGTACGCCAAAAACCATTTACTCAAGCAAAATCATATCCAGTTGCTTGAGTAAAGGCTGTTAATGTACATGATATAAACACATATATTAACACAATGCAAACATCACAAGGATTGAGACACTTTTACTCCTCAAATGCTTTTATTTCTGTACATTTAATGTATAAGATAAATCTGCAAAAACAAACAATTATGACAAATAGATGGCTTCAGACTGCTATCTCATAGACTGAAAGTTTCTTCTTTAAACACATAGTTAAATGTAATATAACTATCCTTGGGTTTTCAGTTCATCACATACAAACATCAAGTTTTAACCCCATGAGGAAAAGGAATAAATTAAGATGTGAAATCTTACATGAAATATGACAAAAACTGACTTGATTGTTCCATCTGCAATATGCAGAGAAAATGTCTAAATATTCTGTGCAAGATCTGGAGTTTCCAAGTAAAAATAATTATTAAATATATCTTTTGATAAAGTATGGCACTTTTAAAGTGTGACAGCGTAAACTCACAAACAAAAAATACAAGATGAGACTTGTACATATGTATGTCTTCCATCTTCCTATGTTTGCAAGCAAGCCTCTAGCCAAAGTAACACATTCAAGAATTTCACAGAATAATCAAATATTACTGTTTCCACTGAATATCAGTGGAGAAAATACACATACAATAAAAATTCTGTCTCATTCTCACCATGAATAGACTACAGCACCCTCACATATATATACAATAGAAATCACCTCCTAAAATAAGTCTTAACTTATCAATAAATTCATCTCTGGGGGAGGAAATTTCTTTTGGTAACAATCACTGCTCTGTCACATGCAGCACTATTCTGTGAAGCTCATCATGAATATAGAAGACGTTAACAACAAGGCTGAAGTGTTTCTATATCATTTTTGAATGGCCAACCTCTTGTGTGTGGCTTGTGCAAGATTAAATTGTCCAAATCTTTCTATTACTATGATTCACTGTAATGTTTCCGGTAGCAAAATATCAAAGCTGTACAATATCACCATTTATTTGTCCATTTGATTTTTACTATGGTCTGTTATACTACACACAGATCAACTGGTTTACAATCCATTCTTCCATGTTCCAAATCACAACATGGTCCTGTATATATAAACTGCTTATCATTACATCTTATGTTTAAATTCAGAAGCAAATTGTACACCAAAGCTTCACTTAGTCTTTGCATTCATAGCTAATACTTACATAAGAGGATACCTATGGCTTTGTCACTACTCTTCCCATGGGCTCATATCTGTGTCAATGGCTATACAGTTGTAAGCAGCATACCGGATCTTTTCTTCTGCAACCTTTGCACTGATAAAAAAATGGAGAGAAAATCAAATGTCAAAAAAATCTTTCAAATTGATAGTAGTCAATGTCAAATAAAGCAATTCTCTATTCTGTAATACTTGTATTAGAAATATGGTATTAATTCTGGTATTAGGAATATACATGCTTCCAAACAAAATGTAAGAACACTTTGGCAGTTACTGCTTCAAGTTGGTACCATCTTGAAACACCAAGTAGCACTTACCTAGAGTATGTAGGGAGGTACAGAGTATTGGAACATGTGGAAGACTCGGGTAGAGCATCCACTGTATCTGATCTGTACATAGGAGACATCAGATGGTTAGTACTGAAGTCCAAAAACCTCTCACGGAAAAAAAAGGAAGACACGCTGTTGTTGTTTTTGTAAGCACATGATAGAAAAAAAAAGTCATCCTTGTCAGAGGTGAAGCATGATATCATGCCTTCTCTATTAGCTACGCTTGTGCACTGTGGCTTCGCTACGGCTTGTGCAGAAAGGAAGGCATAGCTATGCCAAAAATTTGCGCTGGGAAAGAGTCCCAAAATCGGGGCACTGCAAGTACATCATATGACAAAATTATACTCCTGTCATTGGTCATTGATTTGTCTTTTACCATATCATGGTCCAGTAATACTAGTATTCTTTCAATTCTGCATGCCAGCATGGGGAAAAGATAAAGCATGGGGGTAAAAGGGGGAGGGGGGCTATGCTTCCATGGTTTTTGCTCTCTATGTGCTACTGTACATGTACATACATCTGTAGTTCTATGACTGAGACTTACCCCCTGTCTGGACAGATGAAGAGAGGTGCGGGAAGCCGTCTTCTCCCAGTTACAAACCTCAGGAATCGACTTCTGTCCTCTGTTTCAGGCAGAGATACATCATTCGTAAAACAAAACTCTTGTGTGTATTATTCCATTATCCAATATACAGCACTTCACACAGTATTTCCCAAACCTATAGAGTAATGCAAGTATTCTAAACATCAAAGATCATTTCTGAAATACTAGTAGATAATGATAAATGTAGATCGCAGGTACAAGGACAAAATCTCAGAACATAAATTCTTACCATTGGTAAAATTATTTAGTGCTTCCCACAAGTACTTCACTCTGGGGTCAGTCTGTTCCAGGTCTTCATAGTATGCTGTGGTGGGGAAGGAAAACATGCCATCAGCACCCAAGTCACAGATCCCACATTAATCGATTATAACTGTACAATGATATGACGTATGACAAGTTGTGACATTCAATGACAATGGTCTAAAAGATGCTCAACTCTGTACATGACAAATTAAAGCTTAGTCAGCCTAAGAAGTGGCAACGAAAGGATTAAGTTTACATAACATTACACCATTTATACAATAGTTACAATTGACACTATTCCTTACTTGTCTTCCTGAGAGCTTCAATACTGATTTCAGGGTTGCCACAGACCCTGTGTTCTAACTCCTGCCACGTCAGCAGGTCCAGTACAGCCTGGGGCACTACCTTCAGCAGGCCGTGTCTCATGGAGTTCTCCTGTCAAACACAGGTTTTCATCTTTAACAGTGCAGTCACACCTGTTGTATGTCATAAAGTTTTGATGCTGTAGAATTTTCAAGTAGACCGGTGCAGGTTAGGTGCAGGGAGACATCAGAAATACCTGCCAGTGTTAGAATACCCATCTGCAGTCTGCATTTTGCAGAGACATTTTAATATTGAATAAGAAAAATTAAGCAACCTGCAATTTTGAAGACTATGTACTGCAAAATCAGGCTAGGGGTTCAATAGTGTTTAAAAGCTTTTGTGTTTACTACTGACTCTATAATATATTTTTCAAATTGCATCTAAAATGTTTGCCAACATGCAATTTTGTATATATACATGTACATGTACCATCTGCTTAGATCCGGACTTTTAGGTGTGTATCTGCAGAAAGTCCATGAATTTTCAAATTGCAGAATAAAATTTTCACATTCTGCAATATTGCAGAACACTGAAAAATGTATTTCTACCACTGCTACTCTGCACAGCTACAATTTTACCTGCACTAACCTGCATGTGCTGGTAATATTTCAAGAACTGCACAGTTAACTGACACCAACACCCCAGACCTGTATGGTCAAGCCACAAACATGTAAGAAAACAATGGTTGCCATTACCTGTTCTGTACTCTCCGCCATGCGTTTCTCCCGTACCAGACGACAGTACTCATGCCTCTCCTCATACCCCACGGCGGTGTCCTCCCCCTGTGGTTTGAGTGGTACAGTCTGACCGTTGCTGATGACTGTCGTCCATGTCAGTTCCACGCCAAAGTTCTGGTCAAACGATGTCTTGTCTAAACTGATGGATTCTATGGACTCCAGTAGTTTCACCTGGTAAAAGAAAGAATTACACAGTCAGAATGCAATCATTAAAAGACAGGTGTACATACAGATTTACTTTCCATACTTTAAATTTCATTTTGTCATTGTTGTTTCAACAAAAAGGATTCCAAACACAAAATGTGTGATTTTTAACTACAGACTGTGTACATTTTGTATGTCTGGTTGCTGCATCTATATCTTTTACATTATTGACATAACAACACTTAAAGTACACTGAAAATATATAGATTAGCCACCATTAATTCTACAGATGTTAACAAAGTTGTCTGGATAAATCTTTTTGTACTTCCAAATTGAATAGGTTGGCTTTCTGTGCGCCATTAAAACAGTTCTTACCTCTGATGAGTCCACGCTGATGTAATCTTGTGCCCAGGTCACTTTCTCTCCCACCAGCCGTTTCCAGGTGAAGGCAGGCAGGTCCAGCACCTGGATGGATAGGATGAATAAAGTCAGATGGGGTTATGTGGCGTAACGACAGAGCATTTGGCTCAGAACCAAGAGGTCCCGGGTTTGAATCCTGTCATGTCACCAACCTTGTGCCATTGGGAAGGCACTTTACACCGCAATTATGCCCTGATGAAGATGACAGACGGTCATTTGATATAAAGAACTTTGTGAATAAAGAACTTTTCAAGAACCTACCAAGTTTTCCTTTCCCCTGAGACAGGCCCCCATCAGCATGCCGATCCACTCATACTTGGCAAACTCCAGACAGGAGGGGTTGGGCACGTACACGTCTCTGTTTACGTTAGAGGTGTCCTCAACCTGGGGGAGAAAAGTTAAAGTTAAAGAGCCTTCCCGCATCAAGTGACGCATAGGGTGGCACCCATTTCTGTTTTCAATAGCCCTGGGCCACACTGCCCAGTGCAATCAGTACGTAACAGCAGGGTGTGTGTGTGCTTTCCTACATGTTGAGTACTATGCAGAGAAAGCAGTATGTACCATTTTTAAAGTCTCTGGTATGACTCGGCCGGGGATTGAACTCACGACCTACCAAATGCAAGGCGAGCACTCTACCCACTTGGCCATTGCAGCTGGGGGTGGTCACAGGAAAATGTAGGGCTATCTTACTCTAAACATGCTTAGAATTCATATGTAGCTTTCTCAACTGGTAAAAAAAACACTAATGGAAATGAACTGTTAGATCTGATCATTACAAACATGAAGGACAGATATGAGCAGCAAACAATAGTGCCACAGAATTTTAATTCAATGTACAATGATATTGATCTACAGGTGGGAAGTCAGTATGACAAATGAACTGATTAAGCACTGAAGGATTATTGTTTTACGGTGATTACCTGGTTGGGAGATCTGACAAAGAACGGCAGGGCTACAGGTGCATCTGCTGAACATGGGCACAGCTCTTCTGCCAGGTCTGACAGACTGTCTCTGAATCCACCTCCTATAAGGGTCAGAATAAACATGCAATATTACAATGAGAACTGCTGACTAATAATTCAAATATTCAAGTAAATTACAATGCCCTTTACTGAAGCAAGTGTATATTTTTGCCAACATAAAGATATGGTGAAATTTTATAGCATTAATGCTATCCAGAATATCCAGCATATGTTTAAGTTATCACCAATATTTGTTACTTGATGTTATTTGTTTATTGATGAATATTTCAACCCTTACCTTGGTCAATGATGCCCTCTGATAAGAACTTACATTCCCACCACTGGTCATACTTTGAAGGCCATCTATGAACAGGAAGAAAACACAATTACTTTTTGCAACTGTGAAATACTTTTTTACCTCCGGGGAAGGAGATATCCTTCCGCGAGGACGTTTTACTATGGTTCGAAACATTTCTGTCAGCAGCTGTTTCTCGCGATCGGCTGGACGGATTTGTCTGTGGTTCGGTATACGTATTGCTATTGGGCTGCAGATGATGCAGAACGTTTTTGTTTAATTGCATATGTGTTTATGGGCGTCAAAATAAAAGGTTTTTAAGTGCTCCGGACACCCCCGCCATGCTGAAAATGGTAATTACCATGTTGTTAAGGAATGGGGCGGTTGCAGTTTTGGGTCTTAGCATTCAAAAGGGGTCAAACAGAGGGGTGTCTGGTTCCGATAAAAATTTTGGGTGACGGCGAAGCAATGACGGCACGGGATGACGGCGGGGGTAATGGCGGGGGTGACGGTGCAGGCTGTCAGACTGTGAGACACGTTAATCAACAGTCCATACCGAACCAACCGTCAGTAGCCATCAAAGTTATAACCTAAACCAATAGAACACAAAAAAAAATGGAGGTTTGAAATCTACGATTTCCCTTGTTTTATATTACATGTAAATGCAAATTTCCAGCAAACTCATTTAAGTAAATACTTTTAATCATACAAATGAACCCTTCATTTAGCATCAAAGACCACTCATCCATTCATCTCACCTGTAGTTTAATGGTTTCTCATACTTGTCTCTTGGCTTTAGACCTTCAAAGATCTGAAATAGTGAATAACTCTAGGTTTGAAGCTATTCAACAACTACTATAAAATTGCAACATGATGTAACCCAACACTAGTTACCATGGTGACAGACGTCTGGTTCAGGTCATTGACCTTGTTTGTTTGGAGAAGAAGGAACAGAGCAAAAACAATCTGTTTTCCTTTGCTAAACATACTATAATTTTTCACATTTTCACTCTATTTTGTCTGCATGTTTAAAAATGATATTATTCTCACCTGTGTAAAGATGGCATGTTTGCACTCGGGGTCCTTTGTTGGGTCCGTCCTGTGTTCTGTGGCTGTGCGCCTGTTGATGTAGAGTTTAGGCATGGAGCTGGGTCGGGGGGACTCCGACTCCTTCAGGCACATCTCAATCAGGCCCATCCTCTTCGTGGACAGGGGCAGCAACTGTTTAACCTCCTATGTTATTGACAAAAGCAAGGAAAATGTTCTCAATAACTGGTAAGATGTACATTCATAGCCTGGTTACCAAACCTATTTTATCTGCCAAGTTATTGAAGAAGACGAAAGAGACTGAGCAGCTAAAACAGGTTCTGTAACAAGCCGAAGGCTGTACATTATTTGTGCATTTTCAATAGAGCTTCAAGAACAAAAAGAAATTTGTGTCAGCAAAAGAGAATTGTGACTAAATCTCACCTCTAGACAGTTGAGAGATCCCAGAGAAAATTCCCACTTGGGGACCATGTAGTGCATCACACTGTCTAACAGACTCACGAATCTGAGAAAAGAGAAACAAACAAGCTTAGTCAACGTAAAAGATACACACAGCGACAAAAAATTCACATCAATGTAGCCACAGTAAATACTGATATCTTATTCAAAATCCAATTTTCCTTTTTTCCCCGTTCGATACGCGAATGGAGTAAGTTGCCCGCCCAAGAAATACAGGCACAGTCAGTAGAGGCCTTTAGGGCTGCCTTGCCGTAAGGTCCCCGCACCCCCCCCCCCTCCCTCAGTGATACCCCTTGCGGGTGTATCAAAGATGAAGGTCTGACCTATATAAAGCCAGGGATCTCCTGTAGAGTTTTTCTGGGTCCACAGTCTCCAGCCTGGGGTACCTGACCAGTCTGTCTGAGGTGAAGAAGTCTCGGTTCAGCCCCAGGTCTCTCTCCTGACTGGACTTGATCTTCAGCCCATGTATTCTGGTGTCAATCCCGTCATCTGTGTGTCAAGGATATTATATGGTCATTTTAGCCCATGTGTCTTTAAAGCTGCATCATGTAGCATAAGGAGGATACATGAAGTCAAAGTTGTAGGTTTTTGCACTTTGGCTTTCTCTACAAATAGTGGTTTGGGTATCTAGTATAAAGGAAAGAGTAGACTTCAGTAAATACCTTTGCAATCTTTAATTCTGATTTCGATGTAAGGATAGTGTTGAGTCATGTTCTCCAGCACTGTCAAGTCTCCACTGAAGCCACTGAAATATACAAGAAAATCATTTTTAAAAAAACACACATCTGTACCTGGTAGGTTGGTCACAGTGTTTGCATTTGACTAGTTGTCACTCACTCATCCACTACCACTACACTGAGCTAGCCAACAATGTGAATAACCTGTACAACAACAACAACAACAACAACAACAACAACAACACTAGTTCTATACTGTAGGAAATGCAAGCTGAGAAACATTGGTTTCAAACACATACTTCTACAGTAGAGGTATGTCTTAGGGTGTGCAAAATCAATTAGTTCCATAGCTTGTACCCTTTAGAGGCTTTAGACCTTCAAAGATCCTTACTATGTAGGAAAGTTTGGTGGATTCATCAAAATGCTCAAGGCATGATGTTATGTTTCTGTCAGTTTTATCTGTTGTTGCCCTGCCATCTTGTTGTATATCGTTAACAGGGAATCAAAGATCATCACTTCCACGTGACCTGTTTTGTTCTTGCCCCAGGCAGTGATTAAGAGTGATTTTACTCATGTTAGAAGAGGACTTTTACTATGCTATCACTGTTGAATATCAGTGCTGTTAAAAGATATATTGTAACAAAGTTCTATCAAAACTAAATCACTCTACAAGTCATCTAAAAAATTTTAATGTACTTGCTATTTTCTACAGCGTGACACATATACACAAGGCCTGTATGACTGACCCATGTCTTGTGCATGACTCATGTTGTCTGCTATCTACATACTTACAAGGTGACAGACTACCAATTATTCATCTTTTTTGCATGACTAAACATGACATTTTGAATCAAAGCATGCACACTTTCCTACAAGGTACAACATACACTGGATTTTTAAAATCAGTAAAAAGAATGGTTCTAGTAGATATTCACTCACATTCACTATCCGGTATTTGATTATACAATATAACTGCTGATGTTATACAAAATATTTGTTATAACAGTTGAAGGAATCATTACTGGTAAAATGGCAGAACAAGTACTTACTCGTTCACACTAATGTCGTTAAGTTTGACCAAAGAGTCCAGCTCTCCTCCCATCACTACTATACGGTTTGGTGTGTAGTTGTCGTCAGAGGCTTCTACTCCGATCATCAACTTTCTACAAAACAAGAGGGGAAACATCCAGTTGAAAAAAACACTAAAGAAATCACTAACATTGACAATGACAACAATACCAAAATACACTTATAAACCGTGGAAACTAAAGCCTTTTCGTTGATCAGAATGTGTTTTTGGCACTGCAGAGGAAATATAGTAAGCTTCTCCTATAGTAAGACAATACTAACACAAATGCATTTTGGTAAATGTTACAAAATTGGTAGCCTGGGTGCCATCCAATTTGTAATGATTTTTTGGGGGTTGCCATTACAAATCAGATGGCACCCAGGGTACAAAATTGGCATGTCTGATACAAAAAAAAGATAACAATTAGATCAAATCATGCCTGGAGGTAAAGATAGGGCCAAAATGCTGGGGCCTGATTCTGAAGAACATGTTTTTGCTACTTGAATGATAAGACTTGAGTCCTATGACATACTTGACGATGGTGCTTCTCTTCATCTTAAGTCTGATCCAGTGCTGTCCCTGGCTGCCGTCACTCTCCCAGTAAGTTTCTGTGTCCCCGTCTGTCAGACAGTCTGAATTATCTTCATCCTGCAAGAGGCATGGGGAGAGTGTTGAGCTATAACTGCCATAGAAGAAGTCTATTCCCATAACCATGTTTGTGCCAAATTGTGACTTATGGCTGACAGTGAATATCCTAACGTTGGGCCTTAGTATTGATTTCAATATCAGTCACCCACTATCAAAAACAATCAGGGAAAAAATAATCAGGGAAAATTCATAATCAGCAAATGTCAATATCAAAATACTGTCTTGAAGTTGCTCGTTGAAGCATCCCATGTAATGGACAGACATTGTAGTTTATGCTGCTAAAATATTAGGTCATGAGTGATAATATGAAAAAATAATGGTTAACATTTTTTCCCTCTCAGAATCAGATCTCTTGTATTTGTTTATTTCCCCAAATGTGAGGGTCATTTTTTCTTTCTTATCTTTTCCACAAAGCCTCTTGTCCCAGCCTGGTGACCTTACAAAGAAACTTGCACACATATATAAAAGTTCACGGTCTGAGAAAAATGCACATGTTCACAGAACTATTCGTTTGTGGTGGCAGCAGTTGCAGGAAAAAGAAAATCAGCAAATCATTTGTTCCCGGTAATGATTGCAGTAAAGATGAAAACCCAGATTTGTCAAATACAGTATAAAAGTACCAAAGATTTACAGTACATGTTGTAGTTGTACTTACTAGTAGTACTCATAACTTACCCTGTAAGATGACACCTCCAGTGACTCCACATACTGCTTAACGCTGCCCAGGTTCTCGTTCTCGTGGTCTCCGTTCTCATACAGGAAGCGCGACAGCTCCTCGTCGTACTCCAGCGTCCAGTTGGTGGGTGGGGAGCGAAGAGCGTCCACCGCCTCTACGTCACATGGCGCCACCTTACTCACCTGGCCCAGCTTCATCGCGTACACCTGCTCTACTACATCCTCCCATCTGGATTGGTGGGGGAAAACATTGAAGATTATTTCTTTCTACTAGTATACTGGCTATTGCAGAATGTACTGTATCTGTGTGAAACCCGTAATCTATTGTGTACAGCACTTCAGCAGAACGTCTACTGAAGTCTACTGAAGAAAATTGTCAAAGGACAGTAGACAGGATGTAGGGTGGTTATACTGCCTATACAGATACAAATGTATAATATTATAAAGTATAGAGGGTTCAGTTCATTTTTACATTTTTGCTTTTGGTAAGACTTTCCGTAACTTCTGGACCAACTGCCTATCATTTCTACCTTTTGAAGTATTGCAACATCTACCAGTAGCAGGATGCGAGGTTGACCGTTCTATTTGCTGGACTTATGAACAAGAAGAAGAGGGTGTACTGAGATTAGAACCCATATTCTTGTGATTAAGAAGTGAGATTTCTACCTGGACAGAGTAGGAGGGCTGACTCCAAACAGCTCTCGATGGGTGCTGCTCTTGCCCTTGTCCTCCTCCTGCTGTATCCGTGTCAGTGTTGGCGTTTCATCTGAACTAGAGACGGCCGGATGGAGCAACACCCAGCCTTCTGTTACTTTCTTCCCAGGGAGTAACTGCTCCAGGGTATGCTGAAACAAAGAAAGAAAAATGAGATGGATAAGAATAGATTCTTTCAGGCTGGAATAGAAAAATCACCAACAAAGTCACATTCCTTATTTGTAAATATCAGACTCCTAGAATTGGCCCTATTGCCTACAAATTTCTTGATATAGATAATAGAAACATATGCTACATTTACCTTTGTTCCTCAATAGTATTTCTGCACACTGCATTGTACACTACTTCATCATGATCATCACAACAAAACATCTGAGTTCAAGAATTCAGAAAGTGGTATCAAATACCATTAGGATAATCAATTTATGCTCTAGACATGAAATCAAGGAGGCATTTCTGTAGTACTCTCGTTTCTCTGGAATGTCAGTTTCGCCTCTATGACGTAATCACCTGCATACCTTCATTTTCGTTTTCGCTACGTTATGTGAGCACGTATGCGTATGCTCTCGTGACATTGTGCATGGTGGACTAAGATAGGAAACTGATAAATCGATGAAGACCAACAAAACAGGACAAACCCTCCCCAATAATACACCACTTCTATATCCCACAAGTCTGAAACACGGGAATACAAAACCCGGAAGTTTCAGCTACATTATTTTGTAACGCTTGCCTTCCTGTTGTCCTGCACATACTAGCGCGATGATCTTTATTAGATGGACGAAGAACACCCTCACCTGTCTGATTTTGATCCATTCCCCATCTCGATTGCTCAGCTCGGCTCCAGACGCGGCGATACGTGTATCATTCCCGCAGGAAAATTCTCCAACTTTTCCGCCCCTCCCCTTCATCGATGGCCGGGAGTACACCATGACTTGCACGGTCCCGGGCTTCCCCTCGGCCGTTTTACCGTACAGCACCTCCTCCGGGACGTAGCACAGGGGTTCTGGAAGAGCTAACCCATCTTTAAAACTGTTCACACAGTCGCGTATACATCTCACCCTGGCTAAACGTCTCCGGCAGGCTTCGATGCTCATCTTCGCGCTCAACTCCACAACCTTCATCGCTGGACTGGAGCTACGACGCAGGATCAGCCAATCACAGACGCGCTTACAAACGCGACTTTGTTTTCGGGTCAATCAACCTGGACAAAAGTGAGCGAATGATTTGGTCTCAGATGATTCAATCTGCCTTCGGTGCTAGAGTACTCGAATCTGCCACTAGCTTTACTTTCAACATTTTCTTCAAGCAGATGTAGGGTGCGTTGCGTGTTTACGTTTGCTTTTGCATCATTCTCGGGCATTCTTTCCTTATATATGTCAGAACCGGTTTGAAATACCGGTAGTATTCGTCCGTTTTATGTGATTGACAGACAACTTACTACTTTAATAGAAAACACCACTCAAATGACAATCTTTGCGCATATTTCGCGGTAGTAATCCAAACTACCCACCTGTCTTCTGCCTTTGCTTTTGCCTCAATGCTCTCTATGAAGCCAGATGGGCCTAAAAGTGCAGTAACCACTGCTTCAAGTGCCGACGGTAGCTGACGGTCAAGGTGTGATACTCAGTACGTCAGCCTTTACGCTCACTCTAGGTACCAAAAGCTCCCTTCTGGTTCGTGTGGGTGGAAAGGGGATAAGTCTCAAATTACAATCCAGGATTCCAATCCTTGCCCACAGTAAAAACACACCTTTTGAACCAATCATCACACAAACGCACATGACCCTGCCCTTGTCACGGTCTGAACATTCCAGTTTCTTATTAAACACTTCATTGTCACGCTCTAAACCCAGTTTGAACAAAGATTATGAATTAAAGAGTAGGACCCGTTTGTCATACATAATAAAGACATTTATTCGCCCTTCACGGCACGTAGGACACATTTAAAATGTATTCATTCTTTTTACTATTTTTCATCTTCTATCATTGAAAATTGAGAAACTTAGGAAATAGATCTGTGAGAATTTTGTGTCATTTTGAATTTGAGTGTCATTAGTGGTCCTGACAAGATCGTAAACTTCAGCGTACGTCAGTGGCGGATGTGACGTAAGTAATACCATGGCAACGGCACTAGAGGCTTGGCATGTGGCCACATGAATTCTTGCTGTCTTTAGAAACAACGACAACTATTGTTCGAGAAACATTCAGAGACAGTGACAGTGAACAACGTGGGCGTATTAACTCTGCAGGTGACATTTGTGACTATTGTAGATCTTAAACAATGAAAAAACAACTTTGTTGTCTCGCCAATCTATAAAACATGACGGTCAGTTGTGCATAGTGCTATATACAGTGCTGTACAGCTGAGTGGTCTAATACTTGTGTACAAGGATCAAGTAGAGAAGCTAAGTGCCCGTGTCCACCGTGATACTTTTCCCTTTCTTTACCTTACACATTCAATTGCAACTGTGGCACATTTTGTATTAAGAAACTTACAAATAAACTCTGATCAGACGTTTACAAAAAGTCCTATTAAAATTGAATTCCGATTCTACAACAACATGTCGATCTTCTCCCTACTTTCCCAGTTGAATGTTTAGGAACACTTCGATGAAAATGTACACAGTACACCTGTTATTATAACAGCTTCTCATTGGATTGCGGTGTTTGACGTCACAACTTATAATTAGCCAACCGCCATGTTGGTGGGTTGCGTACATCAAAGATGGCGACCGATTGTTTGGACGCATAATGCTTCTGTAATTGGGAAACTGTTCGTAGTCAGGTCACAGAGCTGAGCGCTCTCTAGTTACATGCAGAGGCAAGAGTCAGGCATGTTGAGGTAGAGGTAGATCAGCTGTTTAGAACACTTCTCGTACAATGACGTTTAACCCACCAACATGGCGGACGCCAAATTACGTCATAGTCACATGACCATTGAAACTCTAAGTGCCAGTGATTGTCTAAATAATTCTAACTTTGGGAATCTTTCAATTCCCGTCCTTTTGCTCTTTTCATGGATGTCACATTGCCGACGCCCGTGTGCCAGTGGACTAGCAGAGAAAAGAAATTATTCCCAAAAGTCGAAATTATGAAGAGAATCAGAAATGCTGTAGAGAAAACTACACATGTACTAGGATCTAGAAGTAGGACACTTTTATGTATTCATATTTAAAGCATTCATGTGAGTGTCTCCAATTAAAGTCCCTCTGTTGTTCTCCCTTCCAGAATGTATCATTTGGCCGCCCATTGCTTTTTATGTTGTTCCTTGCCGAAGCCCTCGTCGTAGTTTCCTTTGGTCTTGAAGAGTTGTATGAAGTGTGGCTTGCAGAACAGTCGGCGCTCCTGGCTGGCGTAGCTTCCCAAACTGTCAGATGATAAACAACAACAGTAAACAACGTCAAATGTGATGATTCAAGATTCAATCATTGACAGACGCATACTGACTACTAGTTTTTAAAACAGAAACATAATAGTACCGTAGAGATCAATAGTATAATCACCGATTGCAAGGAATGGAAAACGATGAACATCCAGTATGCGTAGAATAATGAACTTTTTCCATGACAATTTCTGATGAGGTATGGCCGAAAACCTTTGCCAATATCGAATAAAAGGCACATTTTTTTATCTTGAGGTTTTGGCCAAAGGACAACATGGCATCAATACGAAAAAAAATCCATACTAAACGAGCTACATGTCGAGATTCATTTGCTAAGTACATGTATTTACTCAACAATACTAACATAGTATTTGGTTAAGCTATTGGCTTTACTTATCATATGCTCAATCGATATCGATATTGCCCCGATTCTGTCAAGTAACAGAATATACAATATGTTAACTATTGCGGCTTGGGAAATGTCGATACTACTGTAGGTACCGTTGAAGAGATTCATTTGTCACGTATATATAGATACAGTTCCTAGTGAATTCTTTCATCAGTGACAACTTTGGAAGGATAAGGATACTAACCTCCAAATTTTCGATGGCTATCAGTCCATCTTGTTCACGGAGTGGCCTAATCTCGCGAGAGTGCGAGTACAGAAGGTTGGGAGCTCCCCAAGACTTACTTACCCCTACTTCGGAGGGAGGCGGCGGGGGTGGGACCCGACAGACCGATGCAAGTCTCGGGCCTAGTCTCGCACTCTCGCGAGATTAGGCCACTCCGTGAACAAGATGGACTGATAGCCATCGAAAATTTGGAGGTTAGTATCCTTATCCTTCCAAAGTTGTCACTGATGAAAGAATTCACTAGGAACTACTGTAGGTACGTAATTAAGAACTACACTTGCTTATTTAAGGCATCTAGTGCAATTGCAGGCCGGCAAAACTGGACTTTTCAAAGTCAATTTTCTGGTTAATTCTTTTAATGTTGTCAGTTGAATCATTCCTATCTTATAGCATACTGATCTACGAGGCAAAACACGATGTCACTGATCATATGGAAAGAATTAAAATGGTTGCTTGCTTTGTATGGTAGGCTGGTTCTAGCTATTTATGGGCGGTGCACAAAAATAAAGGGACTCGCGTCTTGTTTTGGGTCTATTTCAAATGCTTCAAGAATGAAATAATGATGAAAATGTGCTATGAAATTGCAGTAAATGCCAATATCAGATAGGTTTCCTCATCCAGATTATTTTTTGTTTGTTTTGCCGATCCGAAATTGCATTGGATGCCTTTAAAGACACGTGCCAAAGGAGTCTCCGGAAAACTAGATATTATCTACAAACGCACACATATCCTCTTTACCGGTCGATGTATACTTCTGGGCTCTCTGCCAGCACGCAAAGCAACTTCGTTATCATATTTTCTGGGCCAGGAAATTATATTTTGTCGTCTCCTCTTTTCTTTGCCGTTTTTGGTATTTCTCGATTTAGTCGGTTACGTTGCTCGTTCGTCTGTTTGTGCGTCACGCATACAGGGTATAACGGTGGTATTTAATTATATTTCGTGCCATTCGGCTACATATTTTTTATGAAGAAGAACGAAAAATTTGATAATGTACTTGTCTTCCAGCCATCAAAAAAATTGCTATGAGATTAATTTGTTACTGCACTTTGCAATTTTCAATTTTCAACTTTTAACTTTAATCTATCTTCTTGTTCTTTAGGTACTACAGATTCTCAGCTATATAAGGATCATCAGCCGTTACGAAACTGCTGTTAGTTATAAGTGACTTGAACTGTGTCCGTACCTGAGTACCTTCTTACAATGGGAACACCTGAAGCAGGCTTTGTGGTAGATGACGCCGTCTGCCGTTAGTTTCTCCATCTCGTACACAGACTTGTCGCACACGGAGCACGGGCTGGGCGGGGTCGGCGCCTTCCACGGCTGCAGGACACACAAAGAGGGATACATGGTAAAGTTTATACAATTTTAGTGGTATCCCACCACTGCCACCAGTGTTATATATACTGAACCTTGATAGAAGGATGCCCACATTCGGGCCGGGCGGAGTGGGCGCCTTCCACGGCTACAGGACACACACAGGGATACATGATAAAATTTATTGCAAATAGCTGCCCGTGGGATACTTACAAGTGAGCAAGTGTTAGCATACATTGGGTGTTTATGTGAGACTGACAATGCATATGAGGATTGTATTATGTTGCCGGTCTATAGTAAACTCAGTATATATCTACGTTGCTGAGCTGATCAGGATGTATTTGCAAACCCTTAAGTTTCGACCGCAGTCCATGCCAAAACGCTAAGTGCAAATCGGAAATAGATAAGTAAATAAATAAGCAAATGAAAGGAAAGCTGTTAATTAGTTAATATGATTTCCCGTTCAGCAAGTTGGGTTTATGTCTACTCCGTACGGAGTCGTGAAATGCCCTACGAGATAAAGGGATTGGATGATTCAAGTTAGAAGAAATACAGTTTTTACATGTGAAATATGCGTAACGCCTTGGGTCAAAATGCATAACGACGTGAGCACAGATACATTTTATTCATCTGTTTTACACCAGGATGGGGGGGGGGGTTACTGAGAACAGCGCAAGGCCCGTTTTACTGCTTTATCATAAACCATTAAGGATGAGTTACTAGTATATGATCCCTCGCGCAGAAGCACTGCGCAATCTTTGCTGCTCACTGGGTTTTCAAGGACATTCTATATTCTATCCTATTAGTCATAAACGTAATCTTCAATCTTGAATTATTTTGGTACAGTCAAGACGATGTATTTATGGCTTCACTCCACGTAGTGGTGTGGTGAAGACATATTGTTTTTCCCCGTGTTTATTCTCGTTCTCCTAATCTCCTCCTTCTCCTGCCATTTCGTTAAATGGATTCAATTTCTTCATTTAAATGACATGAAATTTCGTATGAATACCCCCTGATGTTTCATATTATGGATAAATTTAGGCTTTTAAAATTGTTTTTTCTCCTTTAATGTGCCTGAAATGTATAAAATATAATGTATTTTATCGCTAATGATGCAGATATATGTAGGATTTTATGCTATCTATTTGTAATAATTGGACACAAGTTGAAAATATAATACTCGACATATTTCATGCACTCAATGTGACATGCCAGTCGATATTCAATAAAATCTGAATCTGAATTTTAATTTCCGTTGTGTAATTCGCGACCTAGTCCACAAAACCTTGTCACCAATGAATGGACTCTTCCCATAATGTAGAAAATTGATTGACAACGCTACAACACGTTTCGCCTTTTGTGTATCTGCCGTCTCGGGGTCCTGACCTGGAGATCCCCCGGGCAATTTAACGGTTATTGGATATATAGGGCAACCTGCCTGAAATGTGTCAAATATGACACATCCCCGTATTGTAGTCTGCTTTGACTGAACGCGATTTGCTGACCAAGCAGAAGGAAGGACGATTCTCGTTGTATGGTATAACTGTCTTGTAACGTTGTTTGTTTGTTAGTTCGGTTTGTTTGTTTGTTTGTTTGTTTGTTTGTTTGTTTCCATCTCATCGCAGATTAGGAAAGGTCATGTGAAAATGGCCTCTACTAGATCCCTTCCGTTGCTGGCACTCTAGAAGAAATTGGCCAAATAGGCTGAATAATTCGCTAGAAGAGCTAGCCAAGAAACTACACATGGGTTGCAAATACATGTATATGTACATTTTGTGGCAGGCTTACTCCTCTGGAAAATTATTTAGATAATCTGGCCAAGATTTATTATTTGACCAGCAGCTCAAGTAGTCTGATACAGGCTACAACTGCCTCCCCATCTGTTTGATTTCTCCTCCCCACCCCCACCAACACTGAACCTCCCCCGTACACCTTGCAACCTATCGTCACGGCTGTTATTGATTTTCCCCCCTCCAACAATGGGCGTCACAATACAAGAGGTCGTCCAGAAGCTACGTGCACCCATCTCTAATATTTCTTCATTTACGTAAAGAGACCCCGAAAAAATAAACTTTCCGTGCACCCAACGCTAACAAATTACGCGTTACCGTATAAGGCCCGGCAGGAAATCCTTTAAGAAACCCTTAAGGGGTCTGTTATACCGGCGAATCGCCAGCGGGACATACGGGGGAGGGTTGACAGGTCACCACCCCTGCTGCGCACGGGACATAAATTTCCGTGAATTTCAAAAATTCGAAACGCAAGCGGTAGAATTCGAAATTCCATTTATACCTGATCAACATCCTGAGGGCAAATCCTCTGGGGAATGTAAGGTTATTATATGGAAATGTCAATATTGTGGCGGGAAGCATTCAGTGGAGGTAGAATAGAAATAAAGCATGTAAAACGTGTCGTTCATTTTTACATGAAGCCTTATCTAAAAAGGCAGGCATAACACTTCACTTGTTAGGAATGGGCCTGGGGACTCGCCGGTATGTACAGACTGTTGAAATATGGCCTGCCATTCTTTTGAGATAAAAACCGTTCCGTATTTAGTTCTCCATTCGGGTAAGGGGAGACGTCTTTAGCTCAGCCGATAAGGAGCGTTTAAAAAAAAACATCCCTTGGCGATGGCCTTCATTCTTGTATTTTTAGCTGTCGGTAGACAAATTTGTGGATGGCCATATGTAATCTGATTTATAAAGACACAGACACTCTCGGCTTCGATTGATGCAAATTGAATTCAGATTTCAAGTCATACCAATGTCTGCCATAGTACCCCACCCAATTGTTATAATGCCAGTGAAACTATAGCCAGGGTTAACAGTAAGATAGTATTTTAGTCTTTTCAAATTGGATAAAGGTTTTATTAAGCAAACGTTTCGGGTGTTGTTCCGACACCTTTCATCAGTGAATGTTTACAAACGCATAGCCAGGGTTTTGTTGTGAACGCGCGTATCTCTATCAGTATACTGAATGGTCCCCTCATCTTTGGGATCACATAATCATTCGGTAACCTTTTATTGCGATGTTTTATTTAATTATTCATTCATCACCACATCGTATCTGCCAGCTGGCAAGATTATCGCCAGGCTTTGTTTACATTCAACAAATGTTATTTTATGCATCTATCTGTTTGTGCGCTGATTATTCCAAGGCAAAGATAAACAAACAAACAATCAATCAATGATTTATGGGATTAATGAAATGTGTGATAATTGTTTGCGAGGTTTGCTCAATCATATGTTAAAACTGGCTATGCTGCAGTTTTGATACGAAAAGTAGGTCGGGTCAAAACGACAACCGTACCTTTTATGTACAGTACACGTATGCACTTCTATCACATGATATAATATTAGTCTAGTGCCGGTGGAGCAAACAGACCAAGACTCGGTACTGCTAGCGCTACGTAAAGTGCAGACAGATCTGGGTAACCACAAAATCCTACCCTGTCCAATCTTGTTTTACCACATGTAAATCAAGACAATGATTACTTAAGGGCTTAGCGGGAAAGGTGTCTAGCATACATACAGTGTGATACACACAACACAAAGACAGTATCTTTCACAGTGAAGGCTGGATTCCCTGCTTACCATGTTTCTCTGAGGCACAGGTTTCTTCCTAGTGAGCAGGGGTGGGTACAGCGAGCGCTGTTAAACGCTGACCGGTAGCAACTGTTGTGTGTTGGGAGTATGTCCGGGGATATCACCGTCCGTCCACACCGGTTCTGTACGGGCGTGTGTGAGATGTCCACCGGAGGTGTTCCACTGTTCCGTCTGCACTCTTGGGTTCGGATTCCCGATCGATAACCAAGGTTGGATACGGCCTCACGTGATGCGCGATGAAATATAGGATTTCGATCCACCCGGCACACGAGCCACCCCCTCTCTCCCTGACCGGTTTATCAGCACTCTAGCCTTTTGGGACCCGCACATGTATACTTTCACGCTACATTTGGGGACAAACCATTACTGACCCTGCTGACTAATGGTTCTGAGTGGCGCTCTATTTGGTACAGGATCTATAAGGATCTAGGAAGCCGCTGACAGTTGCAGCAGGCAAAACGCCGGCTTCCTTTCGACGCAATGTCAACGGACGTACGGAAGCCGGATGTGGAGCCGACGGCGCTATAACATAACAAAGAAAATGTCAGGGATCGTCCTTAAGAACTGATGACGCACTTCCGGTAGTACATGGTAATGTGGGTGATAATACAGACACCGGTCTGTGTCTCTATCTGTACTGGACAGACGGTAAAACCGCACTGGGCGTAGCGATTATCTACAAGCAGATATTGGGGTGGAAAATTGTAATGTTTTTTTTAATCTGACCGGGCTTCTCTATATAGTTGGGCCAGTTGCTGTCACTGAGAAGCTCAGTCATTAAGAAAACATTTGCACACTTTTTCTATCCCAACATCTGCTTGGAAATTATATCAAAGCGTGCTTTAATAATCGCTTTTCTTTTCGGGTACAAGGCAGTGGCTGGTTTTATATAATTACTAGTATAATATTGTCAGTAGTAACGATAAACTTTATACGTCAATGCTAGCTGCTATACATTTGTAATAAAACCGACCGAATTCTTATCATAAAAAAATATACACAAACACACTTTTAACAAGTCGTCAAGCTAAAAACATACATATACGGGGCTTCAGCCTGACGTCAGGTCATGCCCATGTAGTATCATATAACCAACCGCCGCACGAATTCACAGCGAAGCTTTTAAGTAATTAAGATGATTTGTTTCGTATGGAGACACTTCTGATTGACACTATGTTGTACTCTGCATACAGTAACGGTATGGATGGGGTGACGAGCCAGCTTAAGCACCCCCGATCAGTTTATATTGACAGTCATTCTCAATGTCACCTTTGTAACATTAATGTTATATTTATAACCCTGATGGAACAGGTATGAGGTCGAAAGCCATCGCGTGTAACGTTGAGGGGCAGACACTTTATTTGGGATGGACCATTATATATCGTGGGCCTGGGGGAATGACACAAATGCACATAACGATTACATATAGCTAAGACATACACACGCAAAATGTATTCTCTCACTTGAAACCTCTCTCTTTCTGTCAGTCAGTTCCGAAATTCAAGCTTTCAACTACACAATGAAAATCATACAAACATTAATTAAGCAACACGCACGAGTATCCTTCTGTTTGTCAATACATTTTAAAAGTTGACATTTTTGATAGCTACATTCATATTGCGCTAAATTGCATATCGATACGAGATCTACCACAGTCAATGTCCGTTTGTGTGTGTAAACAAATAGTCTAGTTGGTGCTCAATGAAAACCATTGTTCAGCCGTACTGCCGGTGGTTTCACATTTTCCTATCTGTACTCTGTCTCTGTCAAAGATAGGTGAACGTTTGCATTGTACACTACACGTGACCTCCAAAAATCAATGAATGGCCTGAATGAATGGCCTTGCTTCAGCTTTCTGTTTGCTTCTCTGTCAGCTGTGGGTCCGTGTATGTAGGTGAGTCTAGGGACGACACATGAATATTTGGTGCGGGTTATATGCTGGCGTTGTCACGGTCTTTATCACACGTGTCTTTATCACACATACCTTTATACACTTGTATCTGGTATCACGTTTGGGCTGTACGGGCAAAAAGGCTAATAGAAGAGTCGGGATGACTAAGGAGGTTAAAACTCCTTGGGATGACAAGTGTATTTTGCTGTTTTTAACTTGAAAAGGACATAAAAGTGAGTTGCAGCGAGGAATCATTCCAAGAAAATGATAAGTCCTAGAAAGGCAAATTATGCCTAATGGCGTCAATGATAAACCATGGGGAGGCACACCACAATAGTAGGACAGAACCTGACACACCTGTACCTGACAGAAAACAAACAAGAAGTAACGGTCACAGGGGCAGAAGTATTAAATTTGCTTCGTTGTCAACTTTGATTTTGATATCTTTTTTTCCTAAAACAATTCTTACTTATTTCTCCTTTGTGCTTCTTTCCTTCTTTTCTTCCCGACAGAACTTTAGAAGTTGTAAGAAGCTACACACACCAGGCGAGCTGTGTGTATGGAGCGTCACTCAGGTGAGATAATTTATGCAAGGTCAGAGGTCAGCCGGAACAAAACGATCAGTTGTTTAGTTGTGCCGCTGGGGACGCGATCGGACGCCAAGCGTTGTCTGGAACCTCCTACAACCTTGGTACAACTATAACTTAAGTGTGCATCGCTTTCCCAATAGGGCGTGATTTTAAGAAAAGTACACACAACAGGAGCAGTGATTTCAGCTGGGGATAGCACAGAGACGTCGTGTGTTCTGGAACGGGAGTTCGGCGGGACCAGCGGAGGTAGCGAGGCGGTGTTGTCGGGGAAACATGCCGCGGAAGGCGCTGAAATGTGTGGTGGATCTGAGCGTTCACGCCGTGAGTGGTGTCGGCTTCTTCTTGATCATACTGTTGTGCTTTGTTGTTATGGTAGGAGTACGCAAACCAGGCCTGATCGGTGCACAGAAGCCGCACGATCGCGAGGGTGGGCGGTGTTGAGGGGGTGTAGCGTGGGGAGGGGGTTTGGGAAGGACAGATGACCTGGCTGGGGTTGGAGACGTTTACATGTGTGGATGCATATAGTAATACTTTTGATTTTTTTTCGAAAAGTACTACATGTAGTACAAAATGAGGACAATCCCATCCAGAAAGTTGCAGAAGGGGCGTGAGAACTTTCAGTTTGTTTTCTTGCTGTTTCACACCTATATGTAAACTCATGAATGATTGCTTGATTGTAGGTGGCATACACATGTGTATTTCCATCACAAGTGGCACGTACATGTGCATTTGTTATTTCAGGTGGCATGTACAGATATATTCCCATTACAGGTGGCATGGACAGGTGTATTTGCCATTACAGGTGTCATGGACAGGTGTATTTCCCATTACAGGTGTCATGTAGTGTTACAGGTGTATTTGCCATTGCAGCTGATATGTACAGGTGTATTTGCCATTACAGCTGATACGTAAGGTTAACAGGTAACATTACGAAGTATAGTTCCATTTAATACAGTTGACATGTGCAGGTGTACTTTACATTACCATGTGCAGCTACAGATATAACCGTATGTTCCCTGACAGGTGACATGTCCAGGTGTATTCCTGAGGGAACGTGATGATGTGTACCTCAGCACCTGTATCCTGGGTCGCTACAAGAGAACCAAACTCCTCCCCCCTGTCTTCCCACTGCTGTATCATGAGAAATTCAAATTTGAAAGAGTAAGTCATTCAAGAATACTAGTACTTAACTTTGGAATCTTACCTTGCCACTCACCTTATACAGCTGCCATATTTTCTTGCTTTGGTTCATTTTAAGTTTTCATAACTGTTCGCATAACTGTCATATTTGTTCTGCTTAGCAAGGTCAGTAATAAAAAGTAAGTACTAGTATGGCTGAAATCTTTTAAAATTGTCTTCTGGCAGATATGCTTTGCTCCAGCAAATTACGATGTATTGAACTATATTTTTGTATAGTAGATATTCTAGAATTAAGACAATTGTTGGCCAGACCCTTTGAATATCTATCTGGCAATAGTTTGTACCTCATAATTTTACAGTTGTGGAAATTCCAGAACATGTCTGCTTGTATGGTACATGGTAAGCTAAGTCTTGCATGCAAAGTCCATTCTTACATCTGGTATCTTATGGTTCCAGACCTTCTTGAATGCAGTGGACCCTGCACAAGTCGCTGACATCTTAGAAGGTAAGACTGAGTTACATGTACTTTCCTCATAATCAAGTTTCTGCAATATGTCATTCTTGCTTTTGGAATTAAGTACTAGTAACATTAAGTTCTTTATTTCACAGTGTAAAGAGCTTGACTGTGCCATTGTGAATTATAGCCTTGTTGTTTTGAAAGAGGTTCAGATTTAGTCCATTGCTAGTGTGTGAGTAAAGTTTGTTTGTTTTGCAGATGACCATGTACTCTTTGAGCTGATCCAACTCAACTACTCAGGTACCACTACCCAACACTTAGTAAGAATTGCAAACACATAATGCTGTTATGAAAGAAAAACCTAAACTTTGCAAGGGCTTCATATTAATACCTTATAAGACGAAAAATTACAGAGAATAAGAATATAATAGTTTTAAATATTTTTGTCGGATCAAGGACATTATACACACATGTATAATGTCCTTGGTCGGATGGATATCTCAGCCAATACAATATCCTTGATTTGCATCTTGTTGTGTATCTTGTTAAGTTGATTCGGTAGTAGATTAGAATTGATTCTTCAGTGTTTAATAGCAAACTTTAATCCTGTATTGGATTTGATGTAGGAATTTTGTTGTGAATTTCATTCCTGTAGGTGGAAAGGTTCTAGCCCGGTACCAGGCCCCAGCCAGGGACTTCCTGTACCCGTACCCCACCCTGACACCTGCCTATCCTGGTGCAGACAGGGAGGTCCTCATGGACAGGGCCTGGGACTTTCCTGTAAGTACAGGCTATAAAAACACTGTCAAATAATTATTCTCTTGTGTTGGCAGGTTAGACACCCAGCCAAGGAGATACACTTACAAGGAAATTGTTACTCAAGCAACTGTGTGTTACATTTTGAAAAGAGTCAGAGGTTTCAAGTAGCATCCAGTACTTTTAGTCAGTCACTGATAAAAAGTAGTGGATACTACTTGAAATAGTACAATGCAGCAGTTTTCAAAATCTATCCAATTGCTTGAGTAACAATTTTCTTGTGCATTATTCTCTTGCACAGTTGGAGATCCACGAAAACTTGTCTAGAATGGCTGTACTAGTCAGTTGTTGGTAGCTAGGTTGTTCTCTGAACAAAAGGGTTTTGAAAATTCCTTGAAAAAGTTTAAAGTGAGAGAAAGTAACCCAGTTTTGGTTGACTGAAATCTGACCATGAGAAGTTACATTTGTTTGAGACCGTTAGAATGCAATGAAGTGGTCCAAGAATTCTGTTGACATGTAAACAAGGGATGTAAGGTGTAAATAAACAATAGGTAATTCTATCCAGGTAGTGTAGCTAAATACACAACATTTCTAGTAACTGCCCATACGACTTCAAACCATGAAATTCCTAAGACTAACATAATCAACAAATTTATGCATTATTTTCAGTATGGACAAGAAAAGTTTGACTTTTCATCATATTTTATCCACACTGTCTTGGAATGGAAGCATAAGAAATAGTTACAATGTGCTTGATACAATGTTGAATATTTACTACGTTGACAGTTCTCTGCTTGAGCCAAACTTTAAGAACTGTGAAAAACAAACATCTTAAAACCATCAAACAGCAGAGTTTATTGTGTAAAATCCTACTTACTCAAACATCTGAGAACTTCTTGAGAGGTCCAGTCAACTGTAACTTGTGAATAAACAATAAGTAACCTTAGCTGAATTGCCTCTCCAAGCAGCTACTTACTTTTTGCATGTCGTTGTTGAGATATAATTTCTGTGAAGGGAACAGTCACTGTTTGGGCCTAAAATCTCACTCAATTCAGCAACAAAAATGGAAAAGACGTGAATACTAGATAAGCTCTATGTGATGTATGTGTGCCAGGGCCAATGAACCATCACATATATACAAAACAGTTAAACCACAACCATATCATTAACATCTTACCCTGGGCAACTTACTTATCAGCACAGCACATCAACAGACTTTAACAAGTGTCAAACAGGAAGATGTTTTTTCATGTGTAGAGGACTGAGAGGACTAGGGCTTACTGCTTAGGCCTGTGGGTAAATTTATGTGATATTTGATTTTATGTATGATTGTTTGCTGCATGATAAAAATAAATAATTTCATCAGGTTGGTGAATGATTGAACATCAAAGTTCTTTATTCACAACCACCTGCTAAAGCCAATATTTTGATGAATGTTGGCTCTTGTTAACAAGTGGTTGTGAGTAAAGAACTTTGATATGCATGACAAACGTTTTTTCTTGTCTGCAGGGAATTTCACCCAAACTAGAGTTTTCCACAAAGACGACGATCAAGGAATGGAGCACGAAGACATCAGGAGTAATCAGGGAGCTGTCGGCAAGTGCTTCTGAGGTAAAAAGTAGACCTCAGATTTAAGATCATATGCTAATAAAAGTTCTTTATTTATTATTAATCAGGCACTGATTGTACATGTCAAAATTAGATAGAATCTGGATTTTATCTCTGACTGAGTCAGTAAATCATGTCTCTATTAATGTTTTGTTCGTGACAGGACGACCTTTCTGTCTCAAGGTCTTCACGCAGAAGAAAGAAACAGAAGAAACCGAAGGGGTACGAAGAACCCACCATTTCTTCCCGCGCCCGCTCGCCCTCCCCCTACACCAAGAGGAGAACGTCTGGTCGAAACAACAGCAAAATAGTGGAACCCAGGCCGCCATTTGTAGTCAGAAATGTAAGACTTCATCATGGTTGCACTGAAGCTCTATCTAAACTAAAGCCTCTCCGTATGCGTGACATTGTGTAAACTTGCAACATCAGTATCTAGTCACAGAAATTTTTGAGGTCATGCCTGTCTGTTTGTCTATGTGCAAAAGCCAGTATAATTCTCTTGACTTGTGTTCCTTTTGATAAGTCTTACCATTGTAGAATATGAAAAATACATCTGTGAATAGAAGTCACAGCTGTGCTGCAGTGCAATGTGAACCAGTCAGAATTGCCCCGAAGAAGGTGACAGACAATCACCAAAACTTTGGCTGAATAAAAGACTTGGTTGTGTAAAAAGAGTCTCTTTACTCAATGAAAAATACATATAGATGCTTGACTGATCTGATGTTGGGTTTCCAGGTTGAGGACAAAATACTGGAGGGTGTACCGGCATCTCCTCCACGGAGTCCCTCACCACGGAGGCCTTCCTCAGGTATGTTACATTTATAGTGGGGGAAAGAGGTTGTAGTAGTGTTGTAAAATGATGCAAGAATGGTTGGAGTGTAGAAAATTGTTGCATAAAAGTATGCGAGGAAAAAACAAAAAGTCAAAATTACTATTATAATTCTTTTGCCAGTTTTGAGTTATCATCTAAGAGCATATAGCTTGTAATTGTGTTGATTGGCTATGTCTAAAGGCAAGCTTGAAGTGGTTTTGTCCGGGGGGTTATTAGAGCCACATTACTTTTATTGTTTTGTGTGTCTATTGTGTGGTGCTTGATGTGTTTGTATGTATGTATGCCATGTTAACATTTTGTCATGTTTTTTGTCAGCCCCCTTGAGTAGTTCAAGAAAAAGAAGTTCAAGAAGCCTCAGAAAGGTAAACTCAGTTTAACAGATGTCTTTGATGTACGTAATAATTAATAAAATAAAATACAGAGTTGATCACTTCTTATATCTGCACTACAATATTTTTGAACTTTTGAAATAATTTTTTGATCTTTGATATACACCTGATTAACAAGTGTAAAAAGTATTGACAACTTATATCTGTATATCCCCAATCAGGTTGTGGAGCCTTTGGTGCAAGAACGCATCAGCTCACTGGATGACGACACAGATGGTGAGTACATAGTCACATTTTTATGATTTCCCTTTTGTTGGTAGTTCAACCCACAGTACATCAGTAGTTTTCTATTGATGTAACTGTTGTAACAGTTACAGACCATTGTGCCACCATTTGGGACACATAATTTTATCTATGGAAACACTACATGGGTCAAAAGTGCCTGGACTTTGAAGTCAAGGCATTAGTGAAAAACACCCCTTTAACTCTCTTTTCTTTAATGTCAAAAGGAAATTGCTCTGAGAACTAATTATTCTGTGATGAATGAAGCAAGAAGTACATGTAGTTAATTTATTGAAGCCCTGAGGATGGTAGCTGATGAGTGATCAAAACATTGGCCAGGCAACTTCAGTGTGACAAAACAAAAAATATATATTCAGAATCTGGATGCCGCCCTGAAAATGCATTCGATGCTTTAAAGGTTATTATAAGAGCCTTATTTTCCATTGAATAAATATTTGTTGAACATTTTGCAGACACAGCAGAACTGATCAGTTCAGCGTACAGGAGCCCGAGGTCGACATCACCTGCACGGCTGTCACCACGGCGACTGTACTCAGCCCCGCCCGCCTCTCCTCCCCTCAGCCCCTCCTCACTCAGGAGCTCCTTAAGAGACAGGTCAGAACTTACAGCAAGGTCATTCTTAAGAGTCCTGTTCTGGACCAAAGCAGGTCATCCAAGTTGGACTGCACATTGTTCCATTTTACAGAAATGGCAGTCTTAGTAGTACATACAGTCTATGGAAATCGTGAGGTCGCGTGGCATAGCGGTAGCGTCCAATATACATTGTAGCATACAATGTACTTAATGTCAAGGCTTAATTTTTGCAGTATTATAATCCAGGAGCAGGTTTCTTTTAAAAAATTTGCTTGCTTTATATTATGCTCACAACTGTGGCATTTGAAGTCTTGAAAATAAAATGTAATAATTGATGACCATGTGATGACCAGGTTTGGGAATCAGGACTACTTTGATGTGATCCATGGTCGAGTACAGAGGCTGCTGAGTCAGAGTGAGCTGGATAGACTGGAGCGCAGGCTTCAGGTAAGGCTGCTTTCCTGTGTCCCCATGCCACAATTTTGTATCCTTTTTCTAGACATACCACATAAATAATGTAATGCATATGAATTTAGAATTTTGATAGCATGGTTCTAATCAGAAGGAAAAACTTCAAAATTGAGTTGAGTTGCAACTGCACTGCAACCATCTTGCCAACTTCAAAATATTTGTCAAAAACCAAAATCATATCCCGACAACAGCTAACAGTCTTTTAAAGCTCTATAGTTTTTACTAGTCTAAAAGAAAAGGTTTTGTTACACCTACTACCATATGAAAAAGTGATAACTAGTATGCTTTCTTCCACTGTGCAGGATGATTTGGACCTTGCTGAACTGCGTCGTTCCCTAAGCCCACGTCCCTTGTCCCCCGGGAGAAGGTATTAGTTTTGTATGAAGGTATCTGTTGTTCCTGTATTGTCCTTGTCTTTTGGTGGATGTCAATGTAAACATGTCTTAACGCAATAATCATTAAATTATAAATTATATATATATATACTATGGATTTGGAGTTCTTGTTTGCTTGCCTAATCAAACCAGAAGAATTAGTAGTTGAAACATTATTTTAGCTGAACTAAGGATTGCTTCACGTATGTGTGTGAAAATTTGCAAATATTTCCATCAAAATTTGATAAAACCTTGTCACTCTGCTTTAATTTATAGTATTACTAGCTGTCATAAAAATATGACACTTATTAGATTTTTTTCCAACCAATTCCATTTCTGCTCTAAAACTTACAAAATGTCTTTTTTATCTCCAGTGTTGTGGTGCGGCTGAGTGATGACAGTTACTGGTCCCCTAAAGCCAGCAGCTGGTCAGAGCTGTCTCACAGACAGCGGTTTGAGGACAGCATGTCCAGAGTCTACAGCGGGCTGTACAAATCTGCCAGGTCACCCTCAGCACTCATGTGAAGGGCCTGATTCTCCAGCTTACATCTAGTCTTACATGTACAATGTTTAAATTGTAGTGTTCAGTAACTTTTCTTATTTCTGTTTTTGTAAAGTTGGCTTGTTATAACAATATCTTCCTTTCCGAGGGCCAAATACATGTATATGTACAGTAACTGTAGCTATGTAGACTTGTGGTATAGTGGACACTGCCCCTCCCTCATCCTTATCATTGAAAACCTCAGCCTGGTGAACTCAGGCTTCATTTGGAGCACTACTGGTAACTGCTGAGGAAAACCTAGTGTAGAAAAGCTGTACTATAAACTCTGCCTTACTGAGATTATTTCAAGTCTTGACTTTTACGGGTATGACTAACAGTTCAAGAGATTTTCATGTACTTAGTCCTTAAGCCTCTTAAAAGTACATTGAATATGTAGACAAGTGTTCTTCAGTGTCTTGACTATCATCTGATTGGTGTAGAATTAGATTTGCATTATGTTTGGCAATGCTGTTTCTGAGTTTTCAAAGTGAGTAAAGTACTTGTCTTAGGGTGTTAGAAAATGATCAATTCCCTGCTGCTTGTGTTGGATCTGACAGACTTTTGGTGCTTTGAGTGTTTTAGGAGCCTTGTAGTACTTAGTGTTCTGAGTTAAGCCCACATGTGCCAACACTGTCCAGTTTAACCCTCAGGGTACCACCAGAGCCACATGTTGATATTTGTACCCGGACAACTTTGCATATTAAAAGTTAAGTCAAAAATGTACAAACCAATATGTTCAAAAGACCACAATTGTATGCACTGCCAATCCATTGTATTCTTGCAATGTGTATACAAATTGGCAGAAAATACAGCTTTTGAATTGTTATAAGATTATCTTTTTATATTTTATGTTAGCGTATTAATTCTATCAGATGTTTATGGGTTTGTTTGCAGTGAATTAATGTGTTTTTGTATGAGGAAATCATTTTTCTTATTTCAATAGACTAAGACAGTTCATGCCCAAATTGCTATGTATCTCTAATGATCTATTGTGGAAACGTATAAAGTTCTAGTAGAAACTAGTGGGTGGTACATGTATGTACAGTTTTGTACTTTTTCAGAGTACTGAATTACATGTTTATTGCACTTAAAAGCACATTGAGTATGTAGTGTTCTTTAATGTGTTGACTACGATCTGATAGGTGTAGAATTAGATTTGCTTTTATGTTTGTGACAAAGATTAAGTAGTTGCTATGGGAAATGCTTTTACATAGCACTATATGTAAAAGCACAGTACGTACATACTGAGTCAAACATACAAGTTTGTAACAGTTGTAGAAGACTTTTCATGATTACATCTGTTTAATGCACATGTTGGACATACTTACGTGACTGTCAGAACAGTAATTAATGACAGCACACATTATGTTCTCTGTAGCATTTCTCTGTACACTAGTGCTGATGTATTTCACAGCCACGCTATCCCTGCACAAGTTTTTAAAAAGAATTTCATGTCTAAAAAACATATTCTATTGTATATTTTGGTGTATGGCTGGTTTATGAGTAGATTATTGTTTATTTCATACTACATGTATTAGGTACAGCTTCTTTGAAGTACCTGTAGTTAAGTTGGAGTAAATTCAGCCTGCAAAATGTCCCTTCCAAAAAACATCTGGGAAAGTAAAAAGAAACAACCCACTTGAACCACAAGCCATTGTACTGCATACTTAATCATATTAATATTTTCATAATATATCCAGACATATTTCTCTCAGTGCCTAAACAGCATATACAAAAACCCAGCATTATAAATAAAACATCTCTCCATCCATAGTTCAATATACATGTACATTGATCTAGATGTGAACCTTTACCTAAGACTCTTATTCAGAATTCATTGCAATAATTACATCAGGTTTCCATAATATAAATACACCATCATATGAGTCTCAAAGACTCAAAGTCAAACCAATAACCTAGAAATTTGAGGGGGAAAGAGAGAGAACAGAAAATGTGCCTACATGTGTATAGTATGTACTATCCAGTATCCCTTTGCCTAGACTGACCAGCTTGCACCGTCTTGCCCAGTGTACTAGCCAGTATCCATCTTTCCGTCATTTGACAGAATTTCACAGCTCCTGATGGACAAACATTTTGCCCAATCTGTCATCTTTGGTGCTGACGGCATGTCAAGATATGGCAAGAGATCATTGAACTAAGCTTAGTCTACAAGCAAAATGCAGGAAATAGCATTTCAGAGGGTCAGGAGTTCAACATTTTCACAGGGAAGCAAAATGTTCCCAGACTCCGCTAGTATTGCCCTGTCGGCGGCATTTGACATGGTGTTACGCCAAAGAAAATTGAGAGGATGAAAAAAATTCAGGCTGGCTAGAACACTAACCTAGCCCCAGATGAAGAAAGCATTTTATGGTATTCCTTCAAAACAATCTACATTGACCATGCAACTGAAATCAGGAGAGGCCAGACTGGTGCACACCACAGAAAGAAGGCAGCTCTGCAGAAAAGAACACTCTGCAGCAAAAATAAAGCCGAGTCAGCTCACAAATAAGACTTGTGTGACAGAGACTTCTGTACATTTACAAATAAGCCTTGAGCCTAACTAGGATTTAACCATTGGTCATAGACTGTAGAAGGCCAGAGAAGAACTCAGGCAGTCCATGATAGCCATGTTGTTTTGTGGGGACATGATGGTTATGGTTTGGTTGTGGGGACAGCTGGTCCAGGAGCAATAGTTGTCCTGTGTGGCTGAGGAGTGACCGGGCCCACCTGGAGTGGGACACTGAAGAAATACAGCTGCAACAAAACAGCAGGGTTAGTGACTGTAAGGCTATACATAGTTGAAATGTCTACTAACAACCTGATAGGGGATGCAGTCTTATAAGCCCCGAAAGCTATCTGCCACCAAAAATCTAAACCACTGCATTTCAGGAACAAAAGCTAGAAAAACTGGAAGTTCCAAGGAAAGACGCTGCTAGGGGGCCCACTAATCACAATTATGCATCTTTGGGATACCAATGCCTAACTACATGCCAAATACCATCACAAAGCAAGCATCTCAACTACAGTAAAGCAAACCCTTATCCACATGCACAAATACACACAGCCAGATGAAACAGCACATACTTCATGGAAGTTTATAATAACAAGTCTTGAAGCTATGTACTTACCATGAAACCCACTGCAAGTAGTCCATGCAGAATGAAGATCAGAACCAACGTCAAATACGTCACCTAGAAGAACACAATTTAATGGTTACCAAGGACAGCAAGACATGATACATGTAGGCAGAATTATCATGTTTCCACCAATCAAATCAAGTTTGAAGAGGATGAAAAGAAAAATGAGGCATGTTATTACATTAGTTTAGGTAAACTAAGCCTTCAATTTCCTGTTTGTGGTATGAGCAATGACCATTTAATTTGAGATATTTCAATCTCACAGTATCACATAGTTGTATACTCCAATGTCCTAACATCTCACATACATGACACAAAAACGTTTAATCATTACATGTATGGCTACTATAGCGGATAAATTACTGAGTCATACAAATCCTAATCACTGTACAGAAGTGATGTGTACCTTTCTCTCATCATCCCTGACAGCAGGCCAGAAGGTCATGACCAGTACAGATCCAGACAGCAGCATGCCCACCAGCCCCAGGGCCCACTGGACAGCAGGGACAGGGATAGCCCACAGCACCTGAGCCAGACAAGACAGTTAACAACCAGATAAATATAAATAACTTTTAATATTGGATAGTAGGGTCAGGGTTCGTCTAGCCTGAATGCCAGATGCTCACAGTTTTTTTAAAGGATTACATTTGTCCAGTTATTTCTTTCTTTACAGTAACACTTTTATAACATACATGTTATAAGAGTGTTACAAAATACCAAGAATTTGCACATATTTTATTTACTGTTTGTAACACTGTCTTAAGAGCGAATGTCTGTAAGGATCAAACAATGGTGGCAGGGGTCAAAAAATCGATTTGGCTCAAACTTTGCACAGTGATAGTACTTGGCCCACAACCCCTCAAAATAGCTTTCTTTCCAGTCAGCACCGATCGTTGCCATGGTAACGGGCCAAACAAGTTTCGGGGCCATTTTCCCTGATTTAGACATGTGAAAAACATGAAATTTGGCATAGTTTAAGGCACGATTATGAGCAAGTGCTTTAATATTATGGAAAAACAAAGGATGGGCTTAAAAGACCAACTTATCCGCTATTCTAGAATAGCTTTGAAATTTTCAAGAAGTTCGTTTGAAGGACCTGGGCAACCCTAACACAATACAGTGTTTGAGGCTGATGAAAAAGCGTTATTTCTGCCCAACTTTGAAGTGCTGTAAGTCCAAAGATGGTGATTTTTTTTGCTTCGAATTTGAATCATAGATACATAAACATATGTGCTATAAAATGCATGGTTGCAAACTTTGGGCACTTCTTTGGTTGTCACGTGGTTGTCCTTAGAAGTAGGTCAAATTTTGAATTTGAGGGAAAATATGATTTTCAGCCATGTTCAGGATACTATATCTACAAAAGAAAGAAAGCAATCTGATAAATTCTTTTGCCCAAAGTAACACTATGTCTTGTCTATTAAATGAATACTTGTGGAGGTTGAAGTCTTGTGTCGTTGGTGTGCACTTGTCCCTCAAAGTAGGCCATATTTTGGACATGTACAGAAATTGACATATACGCCTATGTTTGAAGCTCTAGAAATAGCAAAGTGGGATGTCATTTGAATTCAATCTTTGCAGGGAAGTACATATATGTATTGTGTATCAATTGAATACTTGTGGAGGTTGGGGTCATGTGTCGTTGGTGTGCACTTGTCCCTAAAAGTAGGCCATATTTTGGACATGTACAGAAATTGACATATACGGCTATGTTTGAAGCTCTAGAAATAACAAAGTTAGGATGTCTATTTGAATTCAATCTTTGCAGGGAAGTACATATATGTATTATGTATCAAATGAATACTTGTGGAGGTTGGGGCCTTGTGTCGTTGGTGTGCACTTGTCCCTCAAAGTAGGCCACATCTTGGACATGTACAGAAATTAGCAAAACGGCTATGTTTGAAGGTCTAGAAATGACGAAGTAGGAAGTCATTTTAATTCAATCTTTTAAGAGGAGTACATATATGTATTGTGTATCAATATATGTATTGTGTATCAAATAAGGGCTTGTGGAGGTTGGGTTCTTGTGTCGTTGTTGTATACCTGTCCCTAAAAGTAGGCCATTTTTTTAAAGAGCAAATGTCTGTAATGATCAAACAATAGTGAGCGAGGTCAAAAATCGATTTGGCTCATATTTTGCACAGTTATAGTACTTCGCCCACAACCCCTTGAAATAGCCTTCTTTCCGCTCAAAACCCATTGTTGCCATGGCAACAGCCCATTCAAGTTTAGGGCCATTTTGACAGATTTTTGCGTCTCTACAACACGGAAATTGGCAAAGTTTAGGACGCGGTCACCGCCAACTGCTTTAACGTAACGACAAATACTTCAGGATATTATTAGACCAATGCATAAACTTGTACGAAATAGGTATAAACTTGATGTACAGGCAGATTTCAGTCTTTGGGCAACCTCGAAGTAGGTCATTTTCCGCACTTGTCCCCAAATTTGGATTTTGGGCTGTTTTTGATCCAGCTGATGAAAATACCAAAGTGAATTTATTTTCAGACTCATCCTTCTACCATGTTTTTATTATAGTATTGACTAAGGGCTTCCTTTTTTGTTTATTACCTATTTCTGTAAATGTTTAAAATATGGCCTACTTCTAGTGATAACTATACAACAACGACACAAGAACCCAACCCCCACAAGCCCTTTTTTGATACACAATGCATATATGTAACACTCCTCTTAAAAGATTGGATTAAAATGACTTCCTACTTCGTAATTTCTAGACCTTCAAACATAGCCGTTTTTGCTAATTTCTGTACATGTTCAAAATATGGCCTACTTTTAGGGACAAGTACACACCAACGACACAAGGCCCCAACCTCCACAAGTATTCATTTGATACACTAAAAATATATGTACTTCCCCGCAAAGATTGAATTCAAATGACATCCCACTTTGCTATTTCTAGAGCTTCAAACATAGCCATATATGTCAATTTCTGTACATGTCCAAAATATGGCCTACTTTTAGGGACAAGTGCACACCAACGACACAAGGCCCCAACCTCCAAAAGTATTCATTTGATACACAATACATACATGTACTTTCCTGCAAAGATTAAATTCAAATGACATACTACTTTGTTATTTCTAGAGCTTTAAACATAGCCGTATATGTCAATTTCTGTACATGTCCAAAATATGGCCTACTTTTAGGGACAAGTGCACACCAACGACACAAGGCACCAACCTCCACAAGTATTCATTTGATACACTAAAAATATATGTACTTCCCCGCAAAGATTGAATTCAAATGACATCCTACTTTGTTATTTCTAGAGCTTAAAACATAGGCGTATATGTCAATTTCTGTACATGTCCAAAGTATGGCCTACTTTTAGGGACAAGTGAACACCAACAACACAAGACCCCAACTTCCCCAAGTATTTATTTGATACACAATACATACATGTACTTTCCTGCAAAGATTAAATTCAAATGACATCCTACTTTGTTATTTCTAGAGCTTAAAACATAGCCGTATATGTCAATTTCTGTACATGTCCAAAATATGGCCTACTTTTAGGGACAAGTGCACACCAACGACACAAGGCCCCAACCTCCACAAGTATTCATTTGATACACAATACATATATGTACTTCCCTGCAAAGATTGAATTCAAATGACATCCCACTTTGCTATTTCTAGAGCTTCAAACAAAGCCATATATGTCAATTTCTGTACATGTCCAAAATATGGCCTACTTTTAGGGACAAGTGCACACCAACGACACAAGGCCCCAACCTCCACAAGTATTCATTTGATACACAATACATATATGTACTTCCCTGCAAAGATTGAATTCAAATAGCATCCCACTTTGCTATTTCTAGAGCTTCAAACATAGCCGTATATGTCAATTTCTGTACATGTCCAAAATATGGCCTACTTTTAGGGACAAGTGCACACCAACGACACATGACCCCAACCTCCACAAGTATTCAATTGATACACAATACATATATGTACTTCCCTGCAAAGATTGAATTCAAATGACATCCCACTTTGCTATTTCTAGAGCTTCAAACATAGGCGTATATGTCAATTTCTGTACATGTCCAAAATATGGCCTACTTTGAGGGACAAGTGCACACCAACGACACAAGACTTCAACCTCCACAAGTATTCATTTAATAGACAAGACATAGTGTTACTTTGGGCAAAAGAATTTATCAGATTGCTTTCTTTCTTTTGTAGATATAGTATCCTGAACATGGCTGAAAATCATATTTTCCCTCAAATTCAAAATTTGACCTACTTCTAAGGACAACCACGTGACAACCAAAGAAGTGCCCAAAGTTTGCAACCATGCATTTTATAGCACATATGTTTATGTATCTATGATTCAAATTCGAAGCAAAAAAAATCACCATCTTTGGACTTACAGCACTTCAAAGTTGGGCAGAAATAACGCTTTTTCATCAGCCTCAAACACTGTATTGTGTTAGGGTTGCCCAGGTCCTTCAAACGAACTTCTTGAAAATTTCAAAGCTATTCTAGAATAGCGGATAAGTTGGTCTTTTAAGCCCATCCTTTGTTTTTCCATAATATTAAAGCACTTGCTCGTAATCGTGCCTTAAACTATGCCAAATTTCATGTTTTTCACATGTCTAAATCAGGGAAAATGGCCCCGAAACTTGTTTGGCCCGTTACCATGGCAACGATCGGTGCTGACCGGAAAGAAAGCTATTTTGAGGGGTTGTGGGCCAAGTACTATCACTGTGCAAAGTTTGAGCCAAATCGATTTTTTGACCCCTGCCACCATTGTTTGATCCTTACAGACATTCGCTCTTAAGACAGACAAGATTAACTTTACGCAGGATCTGTAAACCACATTTAGAACTATCAGTGCAGACTACCAACGCACGGTTAAAAAATTTTCCTAACAAGTACCAATAATTTTTACATATTGTCTACCTTTAAGTCAGGTTTTTACTAACTAGTGTAGCATTACAACATCAACATCTATCTAGTAGTACATTGTTACATGCATATGTAACAAGGCATATGTGACCACTAGAATAGATGATTTTAACATATACCCACCGATATAGGAACATAGATGGACAGTGAGTATCCGTAGACACAGATGATCTCCAGGAAGGTGAAGTGAGACTGAGAGTTTCTCCACCACAGGAAGCCCCACAGAGCCGTGGGGACAAGCCAGGCATAGCTGAAGATCGCTGCTGCTGCAAGGGTAACTGTAACAACACACACCAGTGTTAGAAGTACCCACCTGCAGTCTGCATTTTGCAGGGACAGTTTCAATATTGCGGAAGAAAAATTAAGCAACCTGCAATGTTGCAGACATTTGTAGTAGGAAAACATTAAAAAGCCATGGACATCATTTAACAATCAACAAGAAAGACGTAGAATAAAAGTAACAATAATCATTATATAGAAATTCAGTTCTTACAAGTCCACATTGTATTCTACTGGTACTACATATCTGTACAACCTAGGATAGAAGCCAGTAGACTGTACCTTTGTGGAAGTCATAGACCCAGTGGTACTCAGACCCGCTGCTGGCTACACTGAAGTAGTTAGCCAGGTTCCCACTGATGGCCGTGGTGAAGACTAACGTCAGGCACACCCAGAATGGACCTAAGGACACACACAACACTGTCATGCCTACTGCTCATGTGAAATACATGTCCAGCTTCACCAGTCTTGTCTTTTCCACACGCAAAATATGTTGCCTACATTTCATCAGCGTATTTTTTGTTTTGCATACCAGTAAACCTAGCTTTAGGTGTAACACAGTTTTGTACAGTAAGTACAAGCTTTCCCAAACTGGACTTGATGTGTGTAAGGTCTTGCACAGGTCACAATGTCTTACCTTCCCCTTGTTCAAGGCTTGTTGTAATAGTCATGCGTTACATGTACTTATTTAATAAGCTTTAGTGGAGAAAGTTGCTTATGGTCCTAAGGAGCAAGGGCTGAGCAGTAAAAGAAGAAGTCTTTACCGTAGATGTCAGGATTTGGTCGGACGTGTGTCAGGAGGAAGTTCTTCCCTGGTCTGGGCAGCATGGAGCCCAGGATACGGTGTAACACCTGCAGCAGACAGGACAAGGATGGGTAATATTATCAGTCATGCATAACGGTCACAGGATATTATTCTACCGGTAGATAGGTAATCATCTAGTCCTTGGAAACTCAATTAGACAATTTGTCAATAACAAAAACGTGCAATACTAAATAAAAGAATTCTGAAGGAAAAGAATTGCATGTAGCACTGTTCTTGACGAAAGGATGCTGATACATAAACATACATGTATATGTACAAAGGAATTTTTCATCTAAAGATAATCAAATACAAAGAAATACCTGATAAGTGTCCACATCAAAGAAATCCTGGTAATACTCAAAGGTCCAGAATGGTGACTGCTTCTTTTGTCCACCTAGAAGCTGTCAGTGGAGGTTGCATCATCAAATAATTAATATCTGTCACACATTGAAAACAACTACAAGAGTTTATCTACCTATTTATTCATCTACAGTAATTTTGTATTCGACCTCAATTTGTTTATTTTTATCCTGAACAAGCTTTAATATTAAAACTATTATTTGCCTTAAAAATAATATGTGCCATCATAGAAATATTAGCTTACAGTACAATTATGTCATATTTTTACACAGGCTCTAGCAATGGCCTTGTAACTCAAGCTAGCATTCTCTGATGTTATACTGGATATAGGGACATCCTCCAAGTACTCCCAGTGGCTAAAATTAATGGACGATCCCTGACCTCTGCTTGGTCCGAGTCTGCGTCCAGTAAAGGTTCGTCATCGCTGGACATCCGGCTGGTCCTGTCCCCTGGTAGCCCCCCTCCCCCATCACTCAGGGTGGCACCACTGAAGTCTGCAGAGAGGAAGAAGAAATTTGATAGGATTTCAAACTTCTGGAAGTACATGTAAACTACATGTATAACTATAACGTTATATAGTATAAGCTTCCTGAATTCCTCCATGCGTCATATTGCATATCAACATATAATAGTAATTCCTGCTGGCTACTGGCCAGTTTTCTGAGATGTTTTGTTAGACGAAAATAGAAGGAGACACTAAACTCGCAAAAATTTGTATTAAGCTTAGCATGGATATCTGTAGTGAAATTTCCCTAATAATTACAAACCATGAAACTGCAAGTCATCAGAAGATATCTGGTCTCCTTTTTCCTGAAAACGAGAAATAGCAAAAATCATGGTTAAAATCATTTACTTCTCATTGCTATTACAATTACAATTACAATTACAAGTATGCAAATGACAGTTTACATTTCTTATATAGATAACGTTATAAACTTTGAACACATTTTGTAATCATTATGATAGATAATAATAACAATATCTATAACAATTTAATATATATTTTTTTCTGTGTTTTCAATTTGGGGCGGATATCAAAGAAGCTGAATACTTTGGCCCTATCACCCAAACAGGATTTAACATAGGCAACTACTGTGACGGGCAAGTTTATAAGGCCTTAGTATGTCAAATATGCCTCAGGCAAAATCAAGGGTCCTTTAATATTTTGGCATAATTTGGCCTAGATTAATCTGCCAAATAACGGATAAAAGGTGCATGTCACCGACTCAAACCCGTGTCATAAACTACAAGAAAGGCTCTAAGTAGTATGAGACACATCTTTAAGCTTCCCTGAAGTTCAAATATCGAAAATACAACCTGTGAAGCCACGTCAACAACAGTTTGTCTTCCTGGGTCAGCCATCTTCGTCTTCTCGTACACAGGGTACTGTCGGGAAGTGCCCTGAGTACGAGATTTTGGGATCTACCATTCATTTATGTGGAGTTCTCTTTTTACAAACATTACCTTTTAGGGAAAATATTCCACAATATTAGACAAACATTCCACAAAAATGCTTTGAAAATTTATACATAAAATGGTTTATTTTGTATAGTATGAAAATAAAGGGTAAAAATCTAAAAATGGTTTGATATCATATATCAATAATGTCTCTCCTCCCCATAATCTCAGTGGCGCTGACCAAAATTGTCGTGAAGGTCGGAGGTCAATGACAAACGTGCCCATCATGGCGCTGTTTCTGCTGAAACTCCGAACTCCGCTGTCCGTTCTGCGGTTTATAGACAGATACAGGGGCGGCAGACTGGAGCGGCTAGGTAAGACGGTCTGGTGAAGTTACCGTGCCTTCACGCGAACTTTTAGTTTTATCGTTTATTATCCACACGTCCAGATAGTCCATATTTCTTCTCCAACCCCCTCCCTCCCTCTCCTCTCTGAGTCTGATAGAAGAATTTAGTTACGGCACTGAGCGGACGAAATTTATGCTATATAATGACTGTAGCTAGATTAGGCCATAAAGTACTTTGCAAATACCTTTCGATAAGTTATATTTGAATTTCATAAACCATGTTTGCTACTAAGTTTAATACATGTCACAGTTTGCAACTGAGTCGCTAGATGGCCCAAATCTTGTTATAACCACCTGTATGTAGCAGCAAACTGACACCACCTACACCTGACCTATAGTGGACAACATGCTTGGATGTCGGACTGAAAAATCATGCCTTAGGCCGTAAACTTTACTTCAGCCCAAATGTACATGATGAGACTACTCTACTCTACTCTAGATGTAAACCTAAGTCAGAATCAAGTTTCTACTGTCATTTCAGCTCTCTGGGCCAAGAGCCTCCTGAGTGACTACGGTGATGTGGCTGTGGAGGCAGCGAAGGACATGAGGAAACACCCCGTCCGCTCCACATTCCTTCTGGCGGGGATCACGGGCACCGTGTACGCGTACAAGACCAACCCGTCATACCAGTCCTTCCAGCAGGCTCTCCTACACTCCTCCAATGACCTTCTCCAGCTCAGTAACGCTATTAGGAACCCAACATCTGACCGCCATGTACAGACTCTCATAGGCCATATGAACGATGGAACGCTACGATACACGACACTGGGAGTGGTTTCCATAGTGTGGACGGCAGACTATGAAAAGGACTGTAATGTGTACGCTGCTCAGTGCAAATACCTGAAACCACAGTGGCTGTCCTTCCATGAAAGAGTTGTTGATGTAGGCTTTTGTGGCCGCTGGCTCGTGTTGGACCAGAAAATGGCAGACTTTGACGTTAACTCTGAGGAGTTTAGTCTGTAGAAATGAAGAGTTGAGTACCTGGTTGTTACATGGCATAAGTATGATGTGCTGACTACATTGTATTTTCATCTAGTTTGGCCATGGTAGGAGAAAAGATGCAATTCTAGGCCATTGAGATTGACTTGAAATGTTTAATGACTGATGGTGTAATAAAGTTTCTTCATGGCAAGCTAAGATGCTTACCGGTATGTGAACTTCTGTTTAACCTACACATTCTTTGAAATTAGATACACTTTTGTGTGTTCAGAAACCTTGCAGAGATTTGACATATGGGTTAGATATAATTATACCAGGAATACTAACCTTGCAGAGTACAAAGTTAAAAATTCTGTTCCAACATAAAGAATTGTTCTCACACGTAGAGCTTCCAACCAGTCAATCTGGTCTTCTTCGATAGATTGACCCCGGTGACCCAGTGAGACTTGTCACATGGCTTTTCTGAACCTTGCAGAGGTGTGTCATTCTGGTAGATCTAATACCTACCTAGGTAACATGCAAAGATAACACAAGAACATCAAGTATAAGTGGTAAAAGTTTAATTGAATATGTAAATCAACAGACTGATGAACATATCACCAAAATCCATGACTACCCAGTGACTGATCAGACTGTAGCATTGCAATATTGAATAACAAGATGTGTAAAATCTTTTTTCCCAAAACACCATGAACTTTGCACTTTTATACATTTGCTCTCTTTACTTTGCAAGAAATGGCATTGCAGTTATTAACATTTCAAACAAGCTGTAGTTTTTTTTAATTCTTGTATCCTCTTTAAAGAAATGACATATTGGTGCATCCATTGCCTAGTTACAAAGTCATTCAGTAAAACACATTTTAGCAGAGTAGTATGGAATACATAACATCATTGTTCAGCAGCAGAACTTTCCCAATAAAAAGTATTTAAAATCACTTCCTATCAGAAAAGATCACCATACACTTAGTAAGTAAGTAAGTAAGTGAGGAATGTTAAAAATTCAAAACAAAATTTGTTTTTAAAATTGTGCCACTGACACATGGTACACAGTAATAGGTAGAGAAGTAGAGATTGCAAAGAGACATTACGAGAGGTACAACATACAGTATGTAAACCAGCCTACAGTACAAGTCATTAACTAAAACCTTGCTTACCAGCCATTTGACTAGGTACCATATTTATGCACCATGCTACAGAGGAACTAGAATAAAATCCATAAAACTGGACAAATAGCTGCATTGAAGACACAATTGGGTCACAAAAAAATATACAACTTACAATAAAAGGAACATTGTAGTATATACACAATACATATCTGCCTTGCCACCCAATACTTGTTTCTCAATCACAGTCATACATTGTATGCATGTAATGGGTTAGGTAGTGTCTGCTAATACACTAGCCTTATAATGCAACAGTGGATGACAACGTAGAATAAATTCTTCACAAACCTCCAATGGATCTTCATGCAGAGACTGTCGATACATACTTAGTACTTCTTCTTCTTTCTTATCAAAATCTTGTCTTAAATAGAAACCATCAAAATGAGCACACCTTGGCTCTTCATCTAACTGTAACACTATGAAAAGATTTTGTACAACTTTAAAAGAAAGATCACAACATCTACATACACAGTTTCATTCACTCAGTGTGGCACCCACCTCCCTCACATATCTATTTAACCTTCCCTCTGTTGTGGGCCCATCTATGATCCCACCATTGTATTGTTTACAGCTGAAAACAGCAGGGAGATGGTTAAGACAAATCTTGAACACTTTAAATATTAAGTTACTTTATAATTTGCTTATCTCGGAAAGGAACTTTCATCATCATCTCTTCAGCATCTTTCTAAATATACATACTAGGTCCAGAGAATTCCCAATAGATACATTAGCACAACACAGCAAAACCCAGAGTCTATTCTAAGATTGGTATAACAGGAATACTTTATACCCATAGAAGATTATTTCAGGTAAAACAAATATTACATTCACTTTGAAACTCTACACCTACTACTGGTACATGAATTTCTCGGTTTCCGATCACCTTTTTTCATATTTACATCCAGTCTGGCCTAACTAAATCTTTAATATAGTGTAACGGAATGATAAGTTAGATGGGGAGGTAGTCTGGGTTTTAGGTGAAAATTGCCTTTTTTTCTTTATTGCAAAATTGAAAGAACATGGCCTGGGAGTGGCCTATTACTGATGGCACCAGGGGAATATGGGTAGGGAAAGTGCCTTCATTTTATTTCACCGTATTTCCTCAAACAACAGCACAAATACTAAAATGATGTTTGGTCACTTTAGAAACTGATACTAGTCAATAATGCTGTTACTGGACCAAATGTGGCATAGCCAATGTACAAATACATGTACAATTTCATCCTAAAACCACATTTCTCATGATAGAAGCTATTGGCACAAAGTTTATTGGCAAGTTGTTTGGGCTTGTGCTTGTGTGGCCTGGAAACAATATGTCACACTATGCTATTCAGCAAGTATTGTCAATATGATTAATACTGCCACAATATGTTAACACCAAAAATTGTTTATGGATAGGTTGATAGATTGACTGCAACTGTCTTTATTACATGTAGTTTGATGTGAATCCAGCTTCACTGGTATTCTGTACCTTCGTTCCTTCTCAGGGCTTGGGTCAAAACACATTTTTGTTGAGGTGAACAACTAAAACTGGCAAGCATTCAAAAGAAGGAAGACAATGATGTCCTTGACAACAGATATTTGACTACTAAAACCCTGTATTGCATTTCAGAAATGTAAACTCTACTAAACAGGGCAGTTGGCAGATGAGGTAGGTATAAGGAGGGATTTTGTTTAAGTTACTAAACAAAACACCACAGAAATCAAATCTTTGCACTCAGATGTCAAAAGCATCATACAGCACCCTTAGATTGCATAAGGTTAAGCAAGACTCGCAGAACTGAAAACTCTTGACAAGCCCAACAAAAGCATTAGGGATAGTCTCGTAAGTTGTCATGTTGTATACATGTGCATGTTTGGTACTACAATGTAGATTTTACCAAAAAAAATACATGTCCAACACAGTGAGTAAATACCTGACCCTTATTACATGTACTAACATTCTTCCACCATAAATTGAACTAGCCTTCCAATGGCAATGTTTTAAAATAGTGATGAATGATAAATTTCATCCACTGATCACTCATACAATGTAAATGCTGTGGACTCGTCCCTTAAAAAAGGCTGGTATCGTGCAGTCAATAATTTAGGTAAGTTCAATTCTTTGTGTTGACAATATTGCAGATAAGGAATTTCTTCTTCATATATTCCAAGATATGAAGATGCAGAGGGACCCAGCAACATGCAAACCTCTGAGACCATACCTAACATGTTCAAAGAACCGTGCTATGGAAAGGGCTGTGTACCAGTGCACACTACCTGTTTCTGTGCCTGTAAGGCCCCATTGCCACAAGGATAAAATTGTCCAGATCAAGCCGAATTGATTTGCTTTGATCTGGCTTTGAGCCAGATCAAGCTGGATCAAAGCCGGAAAAAAGCGAATCAATTCGGGTCAATCAAACAATTTTACCATAATGAGAATGGGCCTTAAAATTGTCGAGGGACAGATCCAGACATGTGCTTCAAGTATACCTGTACCTGAAACTTTTCTCAGGCACACAGCATTTGTCCTACGAATATTCCACACTACTGTAAGTTTGGCAATTTCCACATGGACTGCTACATGTAGGTGGCACCTCTATCCTATCTTCTCTCGATGACGAGGGTGACCGATCTCGGCATGGCTCTCAGCAGCATCACGGCCTGGTCATGCTCCACCTGGGTAAAGTCATACTGCTCCACCTGACACACATATGGGGGGAGAAAAATGGTCTCAAAACATTCATTCAATACATAGATTAACAACTAAAATATGCTCTCAATTGCAAGACACAAAGAAAAGAAAAACTTCTGGTAAACATCTAGGAAACAACTGTTTAGATGACTATATATTATAACAATAAAAAATTACTTGTTTAAGTTAAAACATGAATAAGCAACAGTATACAAACAAAGACTTTCTCACAAGGGTACAATGAGTATGTCATTGTCCCACTACAATGTAGATCATATCAAACTATTATGCATTTGAGACATACAATACTAGTATCTGGGACAAGAAACTTATGAATACATAAAGCAAGTCATTTTAAAGCAAGCTGAATATGTCATGAACATTCAGATAATAAATCTCTCATAGTGACGTTTTAAATGACAAATTTACAGGTAAATGTCCATACGATAATCTTTTATGTGCAAAAACTAATACCCTGGATCTTACAACATGTCATGTAGCCTTCAGGGAGAATTTCGTAGGATTAAGATGAAGCAAACTTCAGGTTTTTCCATTAATGTGATTTGTATACCTGTAATATCTTGTCTCCTGGGGACAACTTGCCGTCAGCCGGCCCTCCGGGTAGGATTTTGGTTACAAAAATTCCCTGGATTACAGAAACACAGAACAGTGCATTACTTATAGGTTAGTCTCAGCCATGTTACATGTGTTATCAATGCCACACCTACAATATATTTCATTGGAGTGAGATTGATGAAAGATGCAGACTTCAGAAGACAATTTGTTCATTTTGACAATCAGCAACAGTTTCTGTATCTGTACATGTACTGGTATAACAGCCCTTCAGTGTAACACACCAGCTTCACAGGCAAGCGGTGCAGCGGCAGCTTGCTACATTTACACCAAACAACTTGTTATGGGTTCACCACACCACGAAGTGGTGGTGAACCCATATTGCTTTTTCTGATGTTTCTTCTTCTCCTCCTTCTCCTCCTGCCATTTCTTTAAATGGATTCAGCTTCTTCATTTTGGGGCCTAAGGACCTGAAATTTGGTATGGAGGTACAGTAGGCAAATACCCCTAGGCGTTTTTTTAATTTTTGTGATACAGGCTTTTAGAATGGTTTTATTTGAGTTTTTTGGCTGTGTTATAGCAAATGTATTACTGAGTTAGTGTGCAGTGTTACCACATTTGGGCATGAGTCATCACAATGGAATGCAGGGCATCAACCAATAGGCATGCAGCTTTCCTCTATTCTCCTTGCTGATTGGCTGTTGGAATTTAACAGGCGTAACTTAATTAATACCTGCACAGAGCCATTCCATACTGACAGTAGGTCTGTATTCAAGTGTTTTGGTAGGTATTTTAAGCTTTCCTGCTCCAGCATTGGAATGCGGGGCATGAACGCTTCTTTTTTCTTGAAAATCAACAGTTTGCATTATGCAATTAAAAATCCTAACCAATAATGTAGGGAATAGCTATCCAACTGTTGTAGTCTTAGTTGTATGTTACTTCATACTATAGTTATATCAATGTAAAGCATTGTTTTCCCTTGTGTTTCTCATTCTTTCCCTGCCATGTCGTAAAATGTGGTGAAGCCATTGCTGTATTTGCTCCAAAGCAAATGTCGGCCTTTCTAGTTACACCTAACTCTTGAACATCTAACTCACTAGAACATTAAACTTTCCTATCTGTTACGGTGGTTACTGCTGTGAAGTACACTAACTTACAGTATCGTCAGGGTTGTAAGGATTGCCACATGATCCAATTCCTCCTGCGATGCTGAATCCTAACCCTGGTTTCTTCTCAATGGTCACTGTTAACTGTCAACAAAAGTGATACATGGTACTATTTAATGTTTTCAAGATTGTTTCATTATCAAGAAGGTAACAACATGAAAAGGCTTTCATATCACACATTTGTAAAACATAACAGTCATATCACTTTGAGACTAAGACTTGTATGGGATGTATACAAATGTACATATATTTGTTATGTTTATGTATATATTTGTTATTGTATTGCATTTTTAATGTATATCAGGATTGTCTGAAAAACAGGTAAAAACGAGTGCATCATCCCGTATAAATAAATAAAGTGAAAGTACATACATAGTTGTTGGATGTTGACTTTGGGTGAGGCTGACTGCTCTTCTGTAAGGTGGCTGTAGAGGAGACAGGTAGACTTTGGACGGAGGAGGTCAGGACACTACTGACCCTGGTTGGGGGGGTGGGGGGCCGCTTCCCTGTACCTGGAACACCAAGGTGTTGTTATTACACAAGTGTGGAGCAGCGACAGTTGTTTTGCAATAAACAGAACAAGGGTAGAAAATCAACACTTCCCTTATCAAAAAGTAGTATGTGTCAGAAGCTATGGTTTGTAGCACTACATTAACTACAATAACTCTTTGTACCTTTAATTTCAAAACTTACGCTTATCCATTTTCAGACAATAAACCGGATAGTTAGTGAGTGAGCGAGCTAGGAAACAGAGGTTTTTAGGTTCCTTTTACACTGTATGTCCTTATCGAGAAAAGTAGGGATGACCCGGCATGCTATGCTGAAAATGGGATCCATGCTGAGGCAACATTTCACTATGTATCAAGGAAGTCAAGGAAGCATCATGCTTTGCCCAAGTTTGATGTCAGCCATCTTTCCTGTCCTGTCATGTGTGAGGGATAAGGACTAACCAGACTACTGTCCTACAGTAGATACATGCATGTCCATGTACCTGGTCTACTGGCCGTGGGCTGCTGCCTGGGCCGTGGCTGTGGTGCCAGGTTCCCCTGACTCTGTGTGTACGTGGGAGTTGGTCTGGGTAGAGTGGCCGCGGCACACAGCGGCACCTGTCCTCCCGCGTACGTGTCCGTCCCCTCGTGTTCTACAGTGTCCAGGTACGAAAACGGCCTGGTGCTCACCCTCTTGAACGTAGAAAAGGTGGGTGGGATGTGCATGGAGCCAGGCTGGACCTTTCTTTCCTCGTCTTTCCCCTCGAGCGGCTGTCCCGTCGTGGTGGTTTGCCAGTACGCTAACCTCTGCTTGAACGTCGTGGCAAACTTTGGATCCGCCGGCTGGCTGGGCGGCGCAACGTTTGTCGGATCCACCGACGGCTCGTCGTGATTACTTTCTGTATCCCCGTCATAACCGTAGTTCTGTTTTTCCTTCGAGTCCACATTGTCTTCAGCTAGACTTTCAGGAGTGGCAGCTTGACCCTTAACCTCAGCCACTCCCTCCTGTACCTCTGTACTAGCGTAGACCTCTTTACTTTCTTCCTTACCCTGTTTCTCTATATCCGACTCACCATCAGAACTGTTTACTGGATAACCAGCCTCTCTGGCCTGCATGATACTAGTTTCAATCTGCTTCAGTAGCGTGTGTCTCCAGTCGTCTGTCTCTTCAGGCTCCTTGACCGCCGGCTCTGCTGCATTTTTTGTGACCTGCGTTTCCTCCGGGGGAATCTGAGATGAACCCCTCCCGTCTGGTGTCAGCTCCAAGTTCACCACCACGCGATGGCCACCAGTAGTCGTTGTGGTTGGCGTTGTCGTACTTGTTTTGTCAGCCACTGTTTCATGCTGCACTCCTGCAATTGTTCTGGCAAGATATAAGCAAAAGGTCATGAAATGGCTATTCTGCAAGTTTGTTTAGAAGATTTATGAGATGAAGAAAGGAGAAGAAAAACAACTAAAGAGGGCCTCGTTTATTTCTCAAAAAAATCATCATGTCTTCTCTCCCTCTCTTAGTACTCTTAGTCTTAGTCATACACTGCGCACACTTACAGTTCACATGCTAACACACAAAGCTTTGTTGTTGAGTACAGCCCCATTCCCACTAGGATAAAATTGTCCGAATCGAGCCGAATTGATCTGCTTTGATCCGGATTGATCCGGCTCCCATTCGGCTTCAGGTTGGTGTTACCTGTTAGGAGATGAGGGTGGACTGGTGGGTGGTGGTGGCTGTTTACTGTAACTGCTGACTGCAGGGTCCTTGTGAGGGGGAGGCTGGTTGGTGTCGTCCTGTAGTTTACTGTGCTGTAAACGGAATGCACTCTTCCCTGCAGGGTGGGGATGAACACACAGGTAAGGCAACTTGTCGAGACAACAAGGAAAGAATGTTTCTTTCAATCATCACCAGTGAGATTATTTTTAGTAGTACATCATCAGCTCAACTTGAAGCTTTTTTGCAAATTTCAAAATTGAGTCACAAGTTTTTGCAGTTCTACAGAAACTAGAGACATTTTAAAAAAATTGTTTGAATCAAGATTAGATGCACTAGGTCCTACATATCAAATCCACATGATGCCAAATTATGTGTATGCCTTTTCCATACATTAAGGTCTTCATTCATTCACATTATGAGCTATTTCCTTCCTCAGCTCACCTGGTTGGAAGCCCAGTTTGGCCAGTTGGGAGTAACGAAGACTTTGCTGATAAGAAGGAGGGACTGAGGGCCGTGGTCTCTGTAGAGTCATGGACTGGAAGTTCCCAGGAGTGATGGGGGTGTCGGAGATGTTAACAGGCTGAGACAGCCTCTCCAGGGTGTGAGCTGCTGTGGAGACTCCTGGCTGCCCCTGGGACAGACTGGTGGGGAGGGGGGTGTCGTCTTGTGGGCGGCTCACGCTGGTGTTTTTACCTGCAGGGTTTGTGCCAGCCTTCCCACTCCTTGTCACCGCACTGTCCGACAAAATCACATCGGGGGGAGGCGTGTTCTCGCTTGAGTCACCAACAGACTTGGAGAGCTCTTCGCTCTTGGACTGACTGTTGGGCAGCTTGCTGACTTGTTCGGTGCTCAGGAGGATGGACCTGGGCGGGGGCTGTGGTCGGACTTTGGGCATGGGCGACCGCTGCGGTAAGACACTGGGCGCCGTGGTCACCAGCAGCTGCTGGGAGGGAGGGGTGGACGACACAAACTCGTGCGAGGTGAAGTCTTTGGTACTCTCCGACTTGCTCATGATGGGGAGAGTGCCGTACTGCTGGGTCTGGATGCCCTGTGAGATGCTCCTGGGCATTGTCCTGTCTCCTGCAGACACAGTGGTTGTTGGGAACTGTTCCTGCTGCCCTGCTGGAGCCTGGGACGGCTGGCTGACGTTCTGGTCGGCCCCGGTGGTGGGCTGAGAGGGAGGAGAGTGTCTGTACAAGTCAGGAGTGGAGGAGAAAATTTTCCCGTCCTCCAGGTTTCCCGCCGCAGTCGAGTCCTCCAGGAGTTGCTCCACGGGAGCGCTCTTCCGGTTTTCCTTGACCCTCTCTCCCCGCTGCACCGCGTACATTCTACCCGCCATTTGTGAGTACTCGCCAGGGGGGTAGTCTGAGGACTGGGGAGTTGCTGAAATTACCTGGAGTTGGACAAAACATAGGTCACTGTTGAGATGTGTATCAGAATAGTCAGTTATCAGCTTGATATCGTTTCTACAGCCAAAGACTGTTAGTCACATAGCAGAACGCCCACTCTTTGCAATTTCTTCTTCATAATAGGATACAGAAAGAAGAAAAACTCTTTCATCTGTAGTATCAAGACAAAACAGAACTCTTATCATAGACAATTCATGGCTCTATTCTTCAGTGATGGCATTGTGCAGTAAAAAAATTGTGTGTGTCCAATTCATTCTGTGCACCTTTCAAATTGGAAGATACCAACTAGAGGCTCGAGCTCACTTCACCTACAGTCATACTACATATGTACATGTAGATGTACATATACCCGACAACCAAAAGAATGTTGTGTTCAAATTGCTTGTGATTCCATGCCTGCATTTTTCTGGCCATGACAGATGACGCGTACCTGTTGTGTTCGGAGCACGTGATCCGGCACGTCTACTGCACGTTCCTGGTACCTGACGGGAGCGGTCTCCCCGTGCTTCTCCTTACACTGCAGGGGGCCGTTCAGATTTTGTGGCAGGAAGGCTGCATCCTGTCCATGGAAATAGAGACGTTAACGGTTAAGTTTAAGCCTTTGTGTACTTATGTACACAGGGTAGTATTATATAATCCTGTAGAATCTGATGTAATGATTTGATGACTTTGATGTTAATGTCCAGTTCTTATCTTATGTAGCTTGTTGTCCCTGCCCAGGACAGACAGTACTCATTTTCACCTGAGTTAAGTGGGGAAAGTCATGTTAAGTGCCTTTCCCAAGTGTGTTACATTCTTGGGAACATTCATGTGTTACATTCTTCAATTTGCAGAGGTTCACATACACTGAAATGGCAGTTTAAGTTTTAACAGTCATGATCCCATGTTTTACCAGAAATGTTCCAGACTTACGCTAACAGTCCTCTTGCCCAAAGGACTGACTTCGTCTTCGCTCCCCATGCTGCTGCTGCCGCTGCGCCGCCGCATCCGAGCTTTGTCTCGCTGCTGCTTCTCCTGGAGGGGAACACAGTACAGAGTCTGACTCAGTCAGTCATGCTGCAGCCCCACCTAGTGGTGGGATTTGGCACTGCAGCCATGAGAAAGGCAGCCAACTGACTACCAAAAGGTTGGTATAATAAAGTATCATGTTAGGCCACAACAATTTAATCAGTTGGTTCTCAGGCTCGCCCTCTTCAATTTTTTTTCTGATATACAAAAAAAACAAACATTTCAAGCGCTGAATTAACTTTAAAACGCTCATATTTTGGCTGCAACAGTTTAAGAAAGGACCTTTTCTTCCGAGTTGTTACGTTTTTTTTATCCATCAATATAGTGTTTGATAAAAAAATTCAAAGTGGACCAAGTACATCTGTGGTACGAACTGATTTGTTACTATGGGCACTAATGTATGGCTAAAGAAATGCAACTCCTTGTCTATTTTATAGGTTTGGGGAAAGATCACGGTACTACAAATTGATGCCTTCGAAACTTATGTCCTGGACAGAAGATGGTTAAAGTTGCTGGGAGGCAACTGCACTCATCATAGGTAAGTATGCCTTAAACATTTTGTGATACAGTACAGTTCCCTGTATGTTTACCTTATCAGCCTTGAACAGGAGATGTCTCTCTCTCAGAAGAGGAGAGGTCTGAGGTGATCTTGGTTTGGACAGCTTGGCTTCCTTGACCCTCACTTCTGAAGGCCTTCTGACATCTGACTGGACCTGGCTACTGCTGGTACTGACCACCTCACTGGGCGGAGTTTCCACCCCACTGTCCTCCACCAACAGTTTACACTTCATACTGCGCAGCTCTCGACTGTGGGGGGTGGGGCAACGACGTAGGCTGCTCTCCTGGAAAATACATGGTACAAGTGGTTCAGGGTAAATGCTAGGCAGAGGTGGGATAATTACATGTATTACTTATTTGTTATGACTTGGCCAGGGATTGAATACTGAATTCATGACACACATATAATCATCTATATACTAGTATCATAAGAGAAGATAATTTTTCAGTATTACGTACTACTGGTTCTCTGTCAGGTGACTCAACCACGTCAAACTGGATGGTCTGTCGGAGCTGCCGTTCCTCCTCCCACAGGGACGGATGGAAGCTGTCCTTGTCACTCATGTACAGGTCTGAAATACAGAATGCAACCTTGGATCTTATATTTGTTGTCCTTACACAAACATCATCACTTTCAGTCAATGGTATGTAATAGCCACGTTTGGTAAAATGCCATCTTAAGTGGGTAAAATACACTAAATACCAAGGACAGACATGTTCACTTGTGTGTGGATTGTGTTCAGCACCAAGGACAGGTATGTTTGCCTGTGTGCGGATGGTGTTCAGCACCAAGGACAGGCATGTTTGCCTGTGTGCGGATGGTGTTCAGCACCAAGGACAGGCATGTTTGCCTGTGTGTGGATGGTGTTCAGCACCAAGGACAGGTATGTTTGCCTGTGTGTGGATGGTGTTCAGCACTAAGGACAGGCATGTCTACATCTATGATTCCAACTCTATCTCACCATCGTCCTGTCCTTGTTGCTGCGGTAGCAGGTAGCAGGTCAGAACTCTCCCCTGGACGCTGGCGTTGTACTCTGACTGGAGAGGGATGAGCGGTTTGGACTGGTTCTCTGCCAACCACAGAGCCCACAGCTTCTTCAGCTTGGTGAAGTTAAAGGGGAGGAACTCCAACCTGGGCAAAAAGAATGATAACAGAGACCATGTTGTTTCTTCCCATTTCTTAATTTCAATTGTTGTTTCTACAAACTATCAAGAAACACAAAATATGCAGGTAGGAAACTGCATTTTGGACACGCAGAAATAGTCAAGAAACACAAAATATGCATGTAGGACAGATACATTTTTTTTGCGCAGAAATAGTCAAGAAACACAAAGTATACACGCAGGACAGATACATTTTGCACATGAAGAAATACAAAAGTCAATAGAGTTAAGAAACATTTTTAGACTACTTATAAATTTGAGAAAAGTCATCTCTTGTTCTTTATCACAATACTGACAAAAAGAGCACCGAAAAATACCAAGATGGTGTGTTTAACAAAAGGTATTGTCCCCTCAACCTTAGCTATTTGGAACACACTTAGTAAACACAGATTATGTCTTACCTGTTGTCACTGACGTTGATGACCTTGAGGTTGGGAATCCTGCCAATCTCGTCTGGCAGTCTCTCCAGCTGGTTACTCCTGACAGACAGCACGGTCATACTGCTGCAGCTGCCCAGCTGTAAACACGATTCAAGATTTTCGTTTATTACTCTGTGAAGTATTGAAATGAATTGTGGCAACTCTACACATTTGCAGTTGTAACTTACGATCCCTTTGCTGCACTGGTATGCAGTTTGGCATGTTGTATGCATGAGATGATGCACTTTTTTAATACCGTTAGCAGTTTTCATAGATCATATACAGTAACATTGTACCGCACATGTAATGTTTCAGAATCAGAAACCACCCCTATTTTGATAGACTTGTGGAACAGGTCATCAATGGCAATAGCAGTTTTCCGAGCATATATTGTTGAAACTTTGCAGTGACATGTTCAAGTTAAAATGAGTTCAAAAAAGATTTCCGTCGATAACATAAATAACATTTCATCATGTTGAAATGCAATACGACACATACAAACAAACACATGTTGGAGGAAGGGGAGAACACCAAACATTGAAAAGATCTGACCTCAGCTGGCAGTTCCATGAGGCAGTTCTCGTCAGCGATCAGAGTTCGTAATCTCCGCAACAGTCCTATAGTTGGTGGTAGGTGCTGTACACAAGATAGGCAACATGATTAGTTAAACCAGAAGGATAAGTAAAGACCCCGTGAACTTGTAACTTCCATCTTTTTTACAAAGCAAAAACTTTGAAGACACATACTATAACAGAAAACTGCTCTTAATATGAAGAAAAATGTTCAGGTAGTAGACAGATACATGTACCATACACTTCCACTACAGGAAGACTGTTGTCTATGGCAATTTCAGGAGATTTTATATCATGTAACATCTTGACTAAAACATTGAACCTTACCTCTAAATCGTTGTAAGACACGTCAAGTTCTTGCAGCGAAGCAAGCCTGGACAGAAAAGAATTGTACAAAATTAACCTCATTCACCAGTAAGTACACATTTAGCAGTTATACACTGTCCAGTTGTTATATCATTCCAAGGTTGCTCATACATTGTCTTATGAAGTACAAAATCTAGATACCAGTAATGAACTCACCCTCCGATAGAGTGTGGCAGGGACAGGAGTTGGTTGTCGTCGACCTTCAGGACCACTAATTGAGTTAATGCACCTGAACACAAAAGTACAGGATTAGAAGAATAATTAGACCCCTATCTACTACATGTGCCTCACACATCTTCCTCAGAGTTTCTGACTGGAGTAGTCTGTGAGTTAACTTCATTGAGGAACCAGGATGAAGGGGATACAAACTTAGCCACGTTTGGGATTGTGTTCTTGCTGCAGAAGCGCCACCTACTTTGGCTACATGTAGCAGCGAGAAGCAGAACTACAGTCAGAAGCTCTGAGGAAGTTTTCTGATAGACATAGAAACATAAGGTAGGAAGAATCCCTGGTTGTGTATAAAAAAATCCCAATGCCCTATGTTCTAGCAACCTGATGAGGTTATTTTTAAAAGTTCCACCCCTGCCTGAAAAGACAGAAGATGATGCCATGCATGTTTGTTTGTTTTTTACTGACCTATACCAGCTGGCAGGTCCTGTAGGAGGTTGGTAGAGAGATGAAGGTCTGTCATCTTGGTCAGGTGTTCCACCTCCTCTGGGAGGTCTTCTAACTGGTTTTTGGAAGCATCCAGAAAGCTAAGTCTCTGTAGGTACCTTATGGCCTGCAAGTTGGATACAAGAAGGTTAACATACACTGTGTAGAATTTTGAAAGCTCTTGTGTAGATGTTGTGCTTTTGAAAAAAAATGTCATCAGCTAAAAGCAAGAAAAATAAGATGTATTGTTTAATACCTCTGTAAGACTTCATTTAAGGAACAGTTTTATCTGTTTGACAGAAAGACATTTCATGTACATGTACCTACCTGTGGAAAAGTGTGAATAGCATTGCTGTCTACCCATAGTTCTTGTAGGCTGGACATGTGGCACACCACCTCTGGCTACACAAAAAAATATATAGTGATACAGTCAGTTTAACAAGCCTTAGGGTAGATCCAGATCCTCAAAGATGAAAGCAGAAAATGATTAAAAAAAAAGGGCTGAAAGATGTGAGTGCTTGTCTGTACTGACCAGTTCTGAGAAGTCATTGTTCCCCATGTCCAGCCTCTCCAACAGGATCAGTCGACTGATGGATCTGAAGCAACAACCATGAGATCAGTGTTCTGAGCAGCGTCCATCTTTCCGTCATTTGACAGAATTTTACTGATCATGACGGGCAAAAATTTTGCCCCATCAGTTGTCTTTGAAATACAAACATTGGTGTGTTAAGACATGGAAAGAGATGTCATCTAAATAAGCTAGATCTACGAGCAAAATTTACCTCTTTTAATGCAGGAAATAGAGTTTCAGTAAAGCATATGACATCTACAATTGATATTGCCTGTACTAAAACATAACATAAAGGTAGTAGCTTACTTGGGAAGTGTCTTCATGTGATTCTCCCTAACCTCTAGCACCTTCAGCCTGGTGAGTCTGGGGAGAAAATGCAACCATAAAACACATCAGACTCAATAAAATTTTTGGTCTCCTACATCATAAAGTACATGTATCTCCTGGTTTGTCCAATATGTACAGACAATTTGGCTGATATGAAAGATGAAAACAGTGAGTATAATCAGAATAAAAGTTTCCATCCAGCCCTCTGTTATAATTTTAACCTCTTGCTAATGCTGGGGTCACATTTCCCGGCCGGGCTGTTTCGATTAACGAAAAATAAACAATTGTCATCAAGAATATACGTAAATAGTTCCATTGTTGATATTTTTCAACCTTGCTGTGCTTTGTTGCGTTTTATACAATATTTTTCGTTCCAAATGACTACCCGGCCGGGCCCCGGTTTGGAAATGTGACCTAAGCATAAATTCCTACTCTAAAATGACTGAGAACAAAGGAAATATCCAGGTGTGTCCTCACCTGCCGAAGTTCCCTGGCAGGTAGTCCATGAAGGTGTCGTTCAGGTAGAGTTCTGTCAGGTTCAGCAGCTGGGTGAAGCCATCTGGGAGTCTGGTGAGAATTGACAGGGAGAAAACTGTTAGGCTGCTAGGCTTGGCTACATGTAATTCCTGGCCTAGATTACTGGGCCTGGCATAACAAACATAATAAAAAACCCTGTAGTACTTTGTCTAGATAAACTGTAAAAATGCATAAAGAAGTATCAGAGATATAAGATATATTGATAACGTAGCAACAAATGAAAAATTAGAACACGTGACTATAAAAACATATTTTAAACCTATGTTAAGACAACTGTTAGTGGCACCTAAAGACAAGACCCCAAAAGAACAAAAGTGTGGGGTGATATACTAGTACTACATTTAGTGCACAGGGCAGGATATCAGAGGACATACGTAGATGAAATAGCCACTTTATAACTAAATTTTCAGAGCAGAAGCGCCCCAGTTCTAATACTGAAGTATTATATATACTAGATCATGCAGTTGCGTTAGACAAGGTGTGCATTTTGGATACAGAGCAGGACTACTTTAATTTGTGAGGGGTGTGAAGGAGGCAGTATACATCAGAACCCATCAACCCTCTCTGAACTGTGACAGTGGTAGATTGAAGGTCGACAAGTTCGACTGAAAATTCATGGTTTCTTTCTCCTGTTGGAACAAAGCCCAAACTCTACAAATATGGATTCTACCAATACAGATGAGCTTTCATTTTTAGAATATCACTACATGTTTTAAGGTCAGGCATTCTCAAATTTTGATGTTTCTTCTTGTTGCTACTAGTTAACAAGAAAGGCGTCTGTCCTTGGTGCTGAATATGGATATCATACAAAGTTACAGGATTGAAGAGAGATTATCAAACAATAACAGTGTACTGACACTTGAGGTATTTGGAAAAAAGGAGCAAGATATCTAAAGAAACATCATTCTGTAGTACTTACTTGCCCAGTGGGTTTACACTAGCCTCCACATAGGTAAGGTTCTTACAAGCCTTGATGCTTTCTGGAAGATCTCGAATGCCTGGAAATGAAATGTTTCAAACATTTTCTTATCTATTGCCAAAAAAAGTAACCATATCAAACTTCTATATAGTATATATGTTATATATTGTCAGTATTAAGTCCAATGGACAATACATCATAAAGTGCTAGACTGCATGTACAAATTAATCAAACTATGTTGCACAGCAATAATGTATCTAATACTTTATATACATGTATGGGGACTACATTGATGATTTCAAAAGTATGATGATCAAATTGCACAGGAGATATGGTACAGGGCTGGTGTAATTGTGTATGAACCATTATAGATTAAGTGGACTAGAATACACAGTCCAGTCTCACCATTCTTACTGATGTCCAGTTCCACCAGACTGACCAGACTGGCCACTGCCGGAGGCAGCATCAGCAGTTCGTTGTCACTCAGGCCAAGCTTCTGCAGCCCATGGCACATGAACAGGGGCTGGGCAAGGGGGAAATACAGCATTCTTCAGCATAATTATCCAAGTACATGTTCCCTCACCCATTCATTCAAGCCAATGCAATTTCAGGGTGACAATCCCAAAAAACATATTCAGAATGAAGAAATCTGTCTCATATATTGACATTTTCTGCCATTTCTTAACACATTGATAACATCACTTAAAACTCGAAGTATCTGAAATACTGGGGTAGCCCAAAACAATCCACAGGAGGAACACCACTAACAAACAGGTATTAGGAATTGCATTCTTCAATACAATTAATATTGCAGTCAATACAAGAAAACTAATTGTTATCAGTAATTAACAAGTAAAGAAATTACTTCCAAACAGAAAACAAATTAGTAAAAGCAAAACTATCAACCAGTGCTATTCCAATATAGCTAATATTGGGTTCAATTCCTACTCTGTATGCAGTGTAATATGAAATATTCCATACTTTGGGAGATAAATGTTGTATCAGATGATTTTGGCAAAAACACATTTTTGCAGACTGGCAAGAGGCACTTGAAGCTAGGAGAAATAAATACCCAGATACGAGTTCAACAATTTATAAAGCAGCTTAAACTCAACAAAGCACAAGTCATGTAGTCATTTCCTCCAGCCATCATAAGTTTAAGCCCTCTCGGGAAATACCTGAAAAGTAAAGGTTTCAGTAGAAGGTCACCTCCTAAGGGAACGCTGAGGAAATACAATATGACTTAAGACATCCACCAATCAACTCCTTCAAGCCCACTTGGAAGGCTAAGGTTAGCGCCAAGGTAATTGGTTGAATCCCCGAGTCGGCCATATATGTAGGCCTGGGTGTATAAGAGGCATATCATGTACGTGACTTCTACCTGATATATAGTGCTTGGGAGGGAAGACCTATTGGTACCGGTTGGAGGGCAAATTTTCCTTGTGATTTTTTATAAAGTAGAAGGTGTGTAGCATATATTTTGCTGTAATAGCCATTCTGGTGCGGTAGCTTTATACCTGCTATCAGCCTTAAGATGTATTGTGGTTCTACTACAGATGAGTGCCTCTTAAGATACAGTATCACCCTCTAACTAAATGGATCTGATCAGGCAGTTTCAGGCTTAAACTAGGAGGAGGGGCAAAATTGAACCATCAATTTTAATTTTTATATAACATTTTCGGTCAGACAAATCCGAAATGCCATGCCCCACACAGCCACAAAAGAGGAATTCAGTGCATGTACGGCATTAGCATTTTATTTGGCCACTCCGCAGTGGATTTATGACAACTGGTTCAAAAGGTGGCCACCCGAATCACAGATGACAGCACTCTATATTCCTTTTAGATAAGTGCGCTGCAGTCTTCCGTCTCCTATAGTTTTCCCAGGTCAGAAACAGGTGTCGGACCTAAATTTCACCGATCCATTATGTGGTCTGCCTGTCTGCCTGGATGGTACAGGAACTACAGAGCCGACTTCATGTCTCCAGAATTTCTCACGTTCCAACTGCAAAATTCACTACTTACAATTGACATATTAAGTACATTCAAGCTGCAATGTAGATGACATATAGGTATATATTATAGGGCATAACGTTGATCAATGATAGTGTGATTTTGTGTGACATTACAGAAGCAGTGGATTGTTCATTCCTTGAAAAATATTGCAGTTGTACAGTCAAAATTGGTCCAATTTCTTGTATTGGAAATTACAGTTTTAACTTGCTTCATAATGACTTCTACCAAGTTGACAACATAGATGAACTTTCAAATTAAGATCAGGAATGCATGTACCTGCACAGTTCAATTCTCCCAGGACTAATCAGCATATATACAGGTTGTACGGTAGTTAATGACACCTACCCTGGGCAGGTCTCTGATCTGGTTGGAGTCCAGGTACAGCTCCTCCAGGGACTTGGTGTACTCGAAGATCTCAGGTGGGACGTGCTCCAGGTTGGCATGCTGGAACTCCAGCACCCTGATCACCACCTTCTCCCGAGGGGCACAGAAACAGCTGCGCAACATCATCCACAGGGAGTCAGCACACCTGAGGGGGGAGGGAGGGGGGCAGAGTTAGAGCTGTGTAACCTTTAAAACAAATTTTAGGTACAGGTACAGGGGTTAATGTACAGGTCCAAATCTGAACCTGTATCTGAACAATTTTTCAACAAATTAAGATGTTCTTCTAAATCTGCAACTTGACAGTTAAGTTTACATTTTTGTTTATGGAGAATTCTGATACAAATTGGGCCAAGCTAAAATGTTTCAGTTTTTATCTCCTAAGTTTACACTGTCAGTCTGTAACACAAACACACTGTCCTTATTTTGGGACACATGTGGGACCAGCTATTTATGCCTTTTAGTTTTAGGTCAAAAACAGTGCACAGACTCGAGTGACAGAGTACTGGTACACAGCTCTAAGGCAGACTTGCAAATTCTGACAGATGCAAGGCTCTACATGTGAATAAATCAGCAATTTTATTTGATGTAACATCATGTCAAGTTCCGAGGGCGCAGGGTGCAACAGTCATAGATGGGAAAATTTTGAAATCTTGACCCTCTGAAATGCTATGTCCTGAATTTTGAGGGCCGAATTTTGCTGGTATTAGTGGTAGACTAAGCTTAGTTTAATGACATCTCCTTATCATTACATGCTGATTTTTGACATATTGGGCAAAATTTAGCAATATTCATTCAGAAGACATGAGGGAAGATGCTGGAAAAAAACAGAGAAACAAAATGTGGCTGCACTGCAAAACATGCTTATATCATTTGTCAGGGTAAGGATTTTTCATCAGGAACATATATAGACAAGTCACCTTTATTTTTAGAAAAATTAATAGCTTTCATCACAGACAGTATAATTACAGCATCAATATTCCCATGCATACCTGGCAGTACAAACAGTCTAGTAAAATGAATTTCCTCTTTGCAAGGCTGAACAATCTTTGGTTAGACAAATGTTTGGTTAAGAAATGAGGATAATAAGCTACATGTATGCATTACAGGGTCTAAGAACTATGCAAATATCAAGCACACACAGGAATTGGTGATGCCACTCTTAATTAAGCCATCGATCAGCAGAACCAAGAGATGTCTGTAATCATCAAAGCAATGCAAGATTATGTACTCCAATAATTTTCAGAGTGAAGGAACAAATTCTCAGAATTACAAGAAATCAATGAGAACACTTACCTTGCTTCTGTAATATATAGTATAAAAGTGCAGAATACTTTTACCTTTAGGTAGTACTGGCATGCCTTTTGCATGCACTACAAGCATGAATTCTCACTCTTCCATGGACTGAGTGTCAGTCCATTTCCAGCCTATTTTTGGAAGAGTCTGCTACAGAGGATCAACCTTGACTTTGCCGTTATAGGTCCTCACTGGGAGTCACGAGTTTTTGTGATTGAGCACTAATAGAATACGGCATGAGTCAGAGACGTAAAGATCATTTATCCAAGCACGTAATATTCTCCATGCATTTGCATTATTACCCTGACCTTGAGTGGTGGAATATCAGCAAGGCTAGCTGAGGGATGAGGTTGGTTGTCGAGGTGAAAGACACGGCATTCTTCACGTTCCAACTTGGAAGGAACCATAATCCAAGAAGCTTATTGTCAAAACTACAGACTGTTTTTTCTGTAAACAGTGCTCCTTTCAAGACTCTGCCTGTCTTAACTTAAAACTCATGTCTTAGGCTGTGCGGTTTTCGTGACCTTTTGAAGAGACTTTAACATGATTGAAAATTTTCTGCTATTGACGTCAAGTGTTTTGACACTTTGCTTGAACAATATTGCTAGTCAGCCAACAAGGCAGTTGGTGAATTTAACTTGAACAAGCACTTAGTCTTAGAGTGTCACTTGTGTTATTATTTAGACATACAAATTTGTACATTGACTTTTTTTGAAGAATCCATTTAGTATTTTATTATGCTACATACAGTGTACGGATTTTACAGCACACATATACTTACACAATCACATACATTTGTACACACACACAGTGACACACACACACACACATGCACACTCACATGCACGCGCACACACACAAATGCACACACACACAAATGCACACACACACACATGCACACACACAAATACAAACACATACACTTGCACACAAACACACACACACACACATAGTCACACACACACAAACACAAACACACACACACACAAACACACACACACACACTAAGTTGACAGACTACAGTCTCTCCTTGGTAGGGGCATTAGAAATGACCCCTCCCTGATGATATCAGTTTGGACTGCTTAAACAAGGCCAATGGTTTGATTGCCTGGGGCGATCCTGCCATAGATTTTATCTCCAGGCCATGCATATTTATTGATAGTCAAAACTGGATATCCTTTAATGTCTGTGAACAAGATGGGAGCCAATCCAGGCCATTTGTCTACAAAATTCATCTCAACTGATACTGAATATGCTCCATATCTAATATACTACCATACATATATTTATGTGAAATACAGAAATTGATACTAGTAGGAGGGGACAATGCAGTCTTACTAACAGGTGGGACTTTTGTCACTGTTATTCCCTATTTCATCAGTCCAACACTAACACAATAACAGTAACAGTCTATGCAATGACATGTACTTCAGTTTAAAACAATATCCTTAATCTTAGCAACTAACTTCTACTTCCCTTGTAATTATATTAGTGGGGTTAACGACATTTACTCAAATCACATATTTTATGTATAACTCCTGGGGTTTGTTTTATATGGAACAATAATTATGTACAGTTGGCAAATAAAACGTACATCAAGCTCATAGGAAGCAATTATGTTAAATTTTAAAATGTATATTCCTAAAATGTTTGGTAGCTATTCAAATCATATACAGATACTTAAAAGCAACAAATACATCAGACTAGAAGCAGCTATTTTATACGTTGATTTGAAGGTTAAGTACAGTAGAAGTATTCATTTATTAGCCTACTTATGCCCATTCAGCACAACACAGTAATGACTACACTGTCAGTGTCAACAGCAAGGCCAAGTCGGGTCTCTGCCCGGAGTTTTAATTTTCTTGCTGGTGGTCTCCTCCCTACGTCAGAGTGGTTGTATTGATGGGCCGGTTGGAAATGGGAACATTCATCATGCCATGTCCCCAGCAGGCGCACTTGTGGGGTGGGGCCTAGGAAAAAAAATGTTGTGTTTCCTGTTTTTCGACCGATCCTACTAAAAACTGCCAAACCTGGCCTTTTTTGAGGTGAAATAAATTTTTTTAGCTGATCATGCTTTTCTACTCTCCATGATCTGACACCTGAGTGATTCCAACACCTGAGTTTTCCAACATTGACATTGAAAACATACAAGCTTTACTTCGTTAACTGTTATAGGTTGGATCACATGTTAGATCACTATATATACCTAGAGATCGCAAAGAAAGAAAGAAAGAAAGAAAGAAAGAAAGAAAGAAAGAAAGAAAGAAAGAAAGAAAGAAAGAAAGAAAGAAAGAAAGAGAGATAATCCCTACGTACCTACCAACCCTAATTTTTTCAGGACTGAAACAGGAAACGCAACATTTTATTTCCTAGGCCTAGAGGCTAGAGTGTGGGTGGAAGACTCCCAGTCCCGAGGCTCTACGTCAATTAGCGCTCGGAGACGCGATGCTGGGAATGCAAATTCCTCCCCGCTAGCTTAAGGTTCATCCAGGACTTGTAAAACTAGCTTATAATCTGTCTTGTAGACCATCTAAGACATTTCCTGACTGTTACAAGTAGAGTGGCTCTCTCTTCCTCCAGGCATTTTGTGGCTTTAGTTTACACGTGGGAAAATGATAGCTTCCCTACAGCTATGAGAATGTGCTATATACTAGTGTTTCAGGATACTTTAACAGTGATTACAGACTACTTCAACTTGAAGGTGAAGATAAAAATTGTGAGACAAAAACTTTCAGGATGTAGGATACTTTACTACGTCAATATCAAACACCACCAAGCACAGTTGGGGCATCATCACTAGAAAGCTTTAAAGAACTCCTGCAATTAAATCATGTGCAATGTAGAGTGTAACAAGTCGTTCAGGGTGATATAGCTAGCTGAAGGGTGGTTATACCGGCTATACTATTACAGATACAGAAACAGATTTGACAATAGAAAAGATATACATCGTAGAGAAAGTGTGGCTGGTTTTGGAAGGTGAATATTCAATGTTTATCGTCACTAACAATCAATGCGCCATTGGGGAATAATGTTGACTTCATCAGCTGACTATCAGTGACAGGTAGCAGTGAAATCAGTAACAGAGCCCAGACTTACAAACCACCCTTTTGATCTTTTACATACATTTTGTACCGTAAATCTTGAATGTTTTTTCAGTAACCTTTCCAGTGAGAAATTATATCTGAAACTATTACAAATTTGTTGTCAGCAATGCATTTTGTGTGAACATCATAAACATTAAACACTTACTACTACTAATACCCCTTTTTACCCCCCCCCCTACCCACACACACATTACTAGTAGGTCACCTCAAACTTAATGACTTTACAGTGTGTCAATTTACACTGAAGGGAATTGATAAAGATGATAGAATGTACATGACACAATTCATCATGATCATAAATCTTGAAGTAAGACAAATTTTTGCTGATTAGTAATCATAAATATTCAGTTAATATACAGATATTTTTATCACAATCCTAACAAATTTTGGCAACATACAAGACAAACACACCTTACAAAACATACAATCTATTATAAAGAAGAGGGCAAAATTCACTGTGGAATTATATAGTTATTTTTCAGCTAAAGTTTCTCAGTTAAAGACTGCTACAAAAAGAAGTACATGTGTAAAATATAGCTTTAACTAACAGTTATCAACCAGTAGGTAAAATACAGGTGGGGTCCCAATTAATTCACTTGGCAATGACCCCCTCTACTAGAAAAGACAAATGGATCCATTAGCAGATCTGAAGTCCCCAATGTGCACCTAACAGTAGCTGAAGTTACTCATTTGGGGCGAGCTAGAATTAGTAGAAAAGCTAGGCAGGTACAAGAAACAGCAATAAATG